AAAGGTTCCTGGTAAAATTGAATTATTTAAATAATTGATTAGTTAGAAGACAGGACTCAGAAAAAAATATACAAAATTACGTGTAATTGAATTTATCATTAAATATGCTTAGATAAAAAAACTTTGTGTTTTATTGCTTTTAATTTGAAAAGTCTGTTTACTGAAATGGAGCCTAGGTCCCAATTGGATCCCATTTCCATATGAATCTAAATTCAGCCAGAAGTCTCTGATGATACTAATCCAAATTCAGCCAGAAGTTTCTGATAATATAATCCTCCTGGTTTGTATTTATATTACGGAAGCTCTAAACACTAATGAAACACTAAACACTAATGAAACATGTTTTTTGGACTTTGAAAAAATGCTTCATTTAAAGGTGTACGAGGGTTGTCCGGTAAAATCGTGGACAAAGCATATGTATCGAAAAATAATGGGCACACTAAGTTGAAATTTTCAGCAAATGTTTACTAATCATATTAAGTATATCTTAATATTTTTAATAAATTATACTCAAAAATAAGGATTTTATTATACTTAAATGTGCACAGGGTATGGCCCTACGGCGCACGACCAAAAAATCGGGGTTTTATCAGGGAATATTCGAGTATTAATTCGAAATAAAAGTATTAAATAGATGAGATTGGGATAAAAATTATCCTATTTTTAATCCACTATCTATTATGTCGTCTTTTGGAAAATTTCAAGGCATTTGCTTAATTTTAGGCAGTTTCCTGGGCATTTGAAATGGGAAAGTGGTAAACACAACACACGAAAAATGGCGACGTTTGATGACGTTACAGCGCACCGGAGAGCAATTTAGTTTGATTTAGAGGTAGTAATGACGCCCTTAGAGACTTAAAATGACTACAGAAGAAAAAAAAAAAAATAGAATTTTAGTATACAAGTGAAATGGGTGTTTTCTAAACGAATCTTTTTGATCGAGTCCCCGGGTAGAACAAAACATTCGGACAAAAAGCTACTGGCGATAGCTAAAGACGCTGTCACTGTTGACCGTCGATAAAAAAAATAGCCTATTTAGTTGAATGATAGTGAGAGTATCCATAACTTACTAATAAATCTTCAGAAGGTACCATGTGTGATTGGTTCCTCGACTGTTTATGGGGGAATAAAGGGAAACTCAAGTATATACATCAATGAAATTCCCGAATTTAAGTGGGGCTTATCCAATTTTTTTTTAGCAAAGAGGAAGCGTGACGCTGCTTCATACAATTTGACGTTATCATCCGTGCGCCGTGCGGCGATATCACACATAACATAAAATCTCATAATGTGTTTATTTATGCATATATCTATTTGAAATTTGCTATGTATATTGATGAAAAATGTACTAAAGTGTAGTAAAAATTTTAGAACGCAGTAATGGATATTTTTCTCTCTAGACAACTTGTCCACGATTTTACCGGACAACCCTCGTAAATAGTGAGTTCATCTACTTCATTCGCAACATAGAGTACATGTCATATTCCTCCAGGAAAAATGTTCAAAGACAATGAAGTACAAAAGAACAGAAAACACTAATGTTTACTTACAGCAGGAAAATACATGCAAATAACGTTCTTTAATTACTTTATCTTGGTCTGATATATTATTAGGAATACAATTACATGTATTTATTTCAAATCTTTTCATTTACTGTAGATTTCCACTAATTACTTTGTTCATTAGAGGACAGCTCACTCGAACAGCATAAAAATACCAGGTATGAGAACTCTTTAGTAAGCAGTGTTAAGAGCTTCCTTAATAGGATGGGAACAGTGAAAACGTTTTGGGGAAAAATAACATTTACTGGTTTATAAATAGCGATGTTTCCTTACCTTTTAAGGTTTGTTGCAATCAAATCTATAGGAGCATCAAGCAGAGAGACAAAGGCAAAGCGCTTAAAGACCCACCATATCTAGGACAACTTACATTTCGTTGTTGATAATGATCTCTAGGGCTGCATTATTCTAAAAGTTATATCTAAAACAAAACCCTCCCGAACCTCCCTTGTTCTTCCTCTTCTTTCAACATTAGTCTAACTTACACATCCTTGGGACTAAATGATGCGACAATAAGGTTTCAAAATATTACTTATGGCCACTGTAGCCTAGTGGAAGGACGTTCGCTTCGTGATCGGGAGGCCCAATTTCGATTCTTGTTAGCTGCGCCGGGTCAAACGTAGGGCGACTGCTCCTCACCAAGCGATCGGCATTAGACGATGAACATCACGGATCACGCATCACGGATGAGAACTTAAAAACTGAGGTCCTGTATCATGGTAGGCGTTGGCAAGACAAAAAACTCTAACTGCTCAATGGACCTGAGTGCCAGGTTAAGGTCTACATTTGAAGCCCTAACCGGTATATTTTTAGTTTTAAATACTTTTAGCATTCCAGTCTATGGAATTGAATTTGATTTACTTACGCTGGATTTCAAAACTTCATAAAAATCCCTAGCTTTAGGAAGATACTGTCAGAGCTCTCGCTTCGTGATCGGGAGGTCTGGGTTCGATTCTCGTTTCCGGCGCCGCGTCAAACGTACGACGTATAAAATAGACAGTGACTGTTCCTTTGCCAAGAATTAGAAGTGAAAGTCACGGGGTCTTTCGGATATGATCTTGAAAACCGTGTTCCCACGTCACATTAGGCGTTGGCATGATAGGGAACCTTCGACCTTTTATATGCAGAGTAAAGGCCTGAATATGACGTCCTCAACCGGTATATGGATACGTCTCAAAGGAGTGAAAAATTCTTAGAAAGTACAAAAAAAGAAGAAAGGATTAATCTCTGATTAAAAAAAAGAAAGGATTAATCTCTGACTGACTTTAGTTAACGCTAGAAAAGGATAGAGTATTTTTGGTCAGTTATTTGCTTAAAATAGTATAATCCAACTTATAGGCATAATTCCCTTTCTAAGGAGGAAATTCGCCAAAATCAGTCAGTTTTAAATATTTTTAATATTCCCAACAATCAAAATGAATTTAAATAACCATACCTCTACTGGATTCCTAAGTTACATAAAACCCTTACAAAGACACATAGCAGGTTTCAGTAAATGTTCTATCAAGACTACTCACTAAAATATTAACAGCAGTGAAAAGACAACTTTAGCTGCATTGTACAATAATTTTCGAGAAGTGGTGTAAATCAAATGTGGACACTTAAAAACTTCAAGGAACTTTAAAAAAAAAATTGAAATTGCAAAATTTTACCAAAACCAATGACATCAAAACGCTTTATACAACCCTTTCCCATGATAAATTAAAGTCCAGGCTTTTTGACATCATAGACAGCTGTTTTTTCAATAAAAATAGAACTCGTAAATTTACTTACCTTGTCACTGGTTATTTGCGAATTTATTTTGTTAAAAAAACACTCTGATTGTACACACAATTACTCTCAAGTTGATATTAAAAAAATGCTTGAGTTTCTGATTGACAAAATCGATGTAGTTTTTGGAAATCAAGAATTCCAACAATCTATCAGAATTTCTATGTTTACGTGATGACTTCAATTTTTCTATCGTGAACTTTCCTTATTTATGTAGAGTATACTATTATCACCTGCAAATAGGAATTTTGTCTCGGGGTTGATTCGATACACAAGAGCATCCTCTACGTATGAACAATTTCTAAAAACAAGGCAAGCTATTGACAAATAAGTCGATGAAATTGCGCCCCGTTATTAGCAGACCTATTTTTGTTTTCATACGAAGCAGAATTTATTTAGGAACTTCTACATGAAAGAAATTTTTTTTTATGTTTTATATCAATTAACAATATTCATTTTCATCCCAACATTGATTCGATATATCCTTTAGAACTCAAAATTAAAGATGCAACACTGCTTGACACATCTCTTTCATATTTGGATATTTTACTAGGAAAAAAAAAACGTTTATGGTAACTTAACAACAAAACTCTATCATAAACGTGATGACTTCAACTTTTCTATCGTCAACTTTCCTTATTTATGTAGCAGTATACTATTATCACCTGCAAATAGAGTTTTTGTCTCGGGGTTGATTCGATACACAAGAGCATCCTCTACGTACGAACAATTTCTAAAGACAAGACAAGCTATTGACAAATAAGTCGATGAAACAAGAATATCAACAGTCTCGCTTAAAGTCAACATTTTGCAAATTCTGTTGTCAATACAATGACCTTGTCAGCAAATACCATCTAATGTTATGTCGAATGTAAACTGACGCCTTTCATACTAGTTGTTAGACCATTTTTCACACTGAATTGTCTACGGATTTTTCTTTTGCCCGATTATGACAAGGAGCACATGGCGGGTGTGACCGGTCAACAGGGGATGCTTACTCCTCCAAGACACCTGATCCCACCTCTGCTGTTTTCACAGGTCCGTGTCTGCTCAGCTCCCGATTTCTATTGTTTCAATCGACTTTTGAACTTCAGATTTCACAACAGTTTGCAAGTCTCATTAAAGTAGATTGACAAAATATAATGACAGATTGCTTCAACCTCAACCCCCATTAATTTTTTCAGTATGTTTTATAAATTTTTCATGAATGATTTAAATTAAAGTGTATTTTTGGGTATAAACTAGTTTCTATAAGTGGTGAGATATGGTACAGATACGCAATATATTTTCAACAATCCATCCATATTGGGTAATTTGATATTTGCCAAAGAGCTAGCCACTATTGGCACAGTCCCTGAAAAGTTTTTTTCTACTACTTTTCTGTTAACTTGGCGTTCGCCTGGCCACAGTTCTCTCTCCGTTGTTTCAGCGTTCGCCAAGCATTGTTTCCGATACTGTGCAAGCAAATCTATTTGATCAAACGAAAAACATAAGGAAAACTACCAATTTAAAATTTTTATTAAGAGTCATAGAAACAATGTATTATAGTGTTTTATGTAAGAAAAGAGTAAACAAGTATGCTTCATTCTTTTTTAGCGAATACCTTCATCTTAAACATACTCTTTCACTAACAAAAGACTTGAGTTATACATATGATTACATTATGCAGAAATATGGCATATGTCATACGGCTTCAGAAATTGAAATATTTTTATTATTTTGCATTCAAAAGAAAAAAAATACAGAAATAATTATGTTTTCGCTAACCACTCTAGTTCCCAGTTATTTCTCAATTGTTTCACAGTGTTTCTTTCTTCACTTCTTTCAATGCTTCTCCTGTGTCTTTCGTGTGATATTTTATGGACAGTGTACGGTGCCACTACAATCCGGGATCTATCAGGACACACGGAATATGACCATCGCTCTAGTTTACGTTGAATTGCACCCATAACTTGGTTCTCTCTCACTGACTTAGTAAGATGAAATTGAACATTGGTCACCTTTACGTTATAAATCATTAGTATCTGTAAATAATCAATATGGAAGATTCATTATACTTGTAATGAAATATCTGTAATAACTAGATCAAATAAGTTTTATAAATTCTACAACGACAGTAAAAAGAATTTCGTCTAAATGACAGGATCGAGTAACTTGAAAAAAAGTTTACTTGCTCCCAACTTGTTTTCTATATACATGGATATGTAAGAGATTAACACACAAAAATCTGTAATTTCATGATCAAAATTTTCAAATAGTCATGTATCCACAGATTTATTTTTCTCAAAACACTTTTAATTGAATTAACTTTTTTCAAATGTCATCAGAAGTACACATGTATACACACAATAAGACAAATTGTTTCATTCAGCAACATGAAACATCAATATAAGAAAGTAAGTTTCTTATCTTGTTTTAAGTAGATTAAATGATGTAAATAAAATACAAGAGCCTGTCTTGCAAAGCAAACACAGTAAACATAGTGACGTATTCGCACAAATGATTACCTTTGCAGAATGTCTAAGATAGAGTCAACTGTGACAGTTGATTACATAAAAAAGCTTACAAGGATACATGAGAAGTAATGTTCACCAAAGCCACTTATAGACGTATTTTATGTTTCTAGGAATAATATTGAATGTCATGAAATATTTTCAATACCTGTGTTGACCATGATTTAGAAAATTGACTTAATATGATCCAGAATGATACATCTTATACATACACTACCAAATACTAATTGCAGTATCATTGGGGATGAGGGTGACCATGAGATTTCACCTTTAGTAGATGGTTTAGTTTTGATATATCCCCGCTGCTTTCAATGTAGACTGAGACATTTCCAGACACCCGCATGGCCATTTCCTGTTCCAGGATATCTGGGAGTGGTGATGGATTATCCACTGGATCATATAAGAGTTCCTCATTGGTCTTCGAAGAATCTGGTTTATACTTTGTTGCTAAAGTTTCCTCTAAAAATTGTTAAGTCAAAATGTTAATGATTTATGCAACAAACAACACAAAAAATTCCTGACTAGCTTTACTATGTATCTCAAGTATTTTTATTACAGTTTGTAAGAGTATGCTTAAATTTTTAAATACTAGAAAAAATAAAAAAAAGAACTACCTCAGAAGGCAAAGTGGAAAATAACCATGTGAATTTCGTTAATTATTGTGAATTTGTATTTTTTGCTGTGTTAGAGTCAATTCCATTTTGTTAGCTTACGCAAGAAGGAATGAAGCTGGACATTTTCGAGGCATGCACTTCCATCATGGCAGGCTAAGGAATGAACCTCAGACTTGGTGTTCTCTGTATTGTAGAAAGCCCCGGTGTTCCTCAAATCAGGAAAAGGAGATGAAGATCCATTCAAAAAGTAGGTCACAAGGTCAAAACATGCAATTGTTTTATCTTTCCATACTTTTCCTTGAAGAGAGAATCTCACAATTTTTATGCACTACCGATTTCATTATTTTTATTGCGATAATTTTATAAATTAACTAATACACATTACGTATTAGAAATTTGAGTAGTATACTTAAAAAACAAAATTAATCAGAATGCCATGCAATTTTACCTCAAAATTGTATGCTTTTTAAAATATCTGATTCACTCTATAATACAGTTAGAAGTCATTATTATTTGTATTACATGTATAACCTTTCCCAATACAACCCCCACACAGGTCCACTAAACATTTGTTGACTTTTGATCTCAGTGTTGCCTTGTCCAGAGGTCCGTTTCCTGCCACCTCTATCAACCTTTCAAGAAATTCAGATGCTGCCTTTTTACGAGTAGCAGAAGTTTTGGAACATTCTGAGGAATCTCCACTGTCCGAACCACATTCCCTTTAATTAAGATGAATTAGCATGATTCAGTAAGAAGAGATTTGCTGAGAGTTGACTTTACTGATGTTGCCAGGAATATAATTCAAAAGTATACTAACAATATACAGATTTTCTGAGATTTGTGAATAATATTGAGCTTCACATCTAAAGATACATAAAATAAACTTAATTGAGCTTTTATTATTTTGCTCGATGTCGTATAGCGATAGTTTTATTTGCCAATTAATAAACTGCTTTACAGTAATTTATCCACGAATCTCAATTTACCCTTCTTTTGAATATTTTATGTAATATGCTTTTAATCCCAAGGGCGGTGGTTGGCATGCTCTTGTTCTGTTTGTTGGTTGAATGAATGCCCCACCTTTAATAGAACCAGAATGCATTCAGAAACTCTAGATATACTGATAGCATTAAATTCCCTCAGAAAAACAAATCTCAGTGTATTTAATTTTGATATTTTATCTAACCGACATATTTCTAGACTTACCATGTTTAAACCCAGTCTCTATATCTTTCAATTGATTGTATAATGGTTCGAATCCGTGATCCCAGATTTTTACAAACTCTTCTGTTGGAGTTGATTCCCTTATATCCACATAGAGTCTGTCTGAATGGACCCCGAAGCCAAGTATTAACCTCTTCGGTATAAGATTCTGCACGCATGATCTCATAATGGTTAATCCAAGATTGTACAACTGGTTTTGGTTCATTCCTTGACCAATCTCTACTGCTTGACCTACAGAAAAACGCCACTTTTCTTCTGCATGTCTGGAATCAATATTTCTATTGTTTTCTGATCGTACCCGATATCCTGAACCATATATAACTTTAATACATCCGTCAGAATGGCTACTGGCATCTTCCAGACATTCCAACAATTTTTCATCAAATCTAAAATACCTGAAATCATCTGATTTTATGTCTGCTATTCTGTAACAATCTGAAAGATTGACAGAAGAGTTGAATCCATCTACAAGAATAGGATATGTTAAACTATAGTCTGCATCTGCAGGTATTTCATATTCTATCACATCTTTTGCAGGAGGTTCTGTTTCATGCATATTCAGATTTGGGTAGTTTACAATCACTGCGTTCACACCAACGGCTGCTCGGACACTGGCTATAATATGCTCCGATTCTTTGGTCACGTGATCGAATCCTGCGAGAACGGCGAGATTTGCCAGTTTACTAGTGCTCAACGACACTCCTGTGTTGACAGATATTTTTAATGATCTATTAAATATTAAAAGTAAACTTTATTGGATATATGAAAACCTTGTTTATGTAAGAGTGAATTAGCTATACTTTGAATTTAAACATGCAAATACACAAATAAGCAATAGTTGACATGCTTTTAAATAGAAATAAATACCTTCCAACAGCTGAGAGTGTCTTGCTAGTTGATCCCGTTTGCTTGGACTGGTCCGTACTTGATATTCTAACTGTAATTTATTATTTTAAAACAATGTTTCATAGACATGTGTTTTAATTTTAAAAAATTGTTTTCATGACAAATATTTTTGTTGAATGAAGTACAATTTAATAACATGTAATTGACATGATTATCTTTACAAATGAAATAACATAGACATTGAAATTTAGGTCATTGATATGGATTTATTTTCACCAGAAATGAATTCATGAATTATCTTAAAAAACAGAACAATTCAACATGATGAATAACTCAATTCATCAATTTCTAGAAGGTATCTTACAATTATTCCTTTCATAATCATTTTAATAATTCATGTGTACCTGGCTTCATTATGTGTTTTTTGAACTGCTCAGCGTTCCACCTCATCCGTGTGCATATGCTACCTTTGCCGGTTGTCGAACATTTGTTTTCAATGTAGTCATCATGGGTCAAATATATGGCTGCGGCATTTGCCCACTGTCCATGGGACACTGCTGACTTAAATTTACTTTTAATTTTAGAGCCAAATTCGCCTCTATAATTTGCATTTATAAGGGCAATTTTTGTAGCTGTATCCAAATGTACAAATGTTTTAAAGGGGACAGCACTGTCAATGGTTTTTATCATGAATCTTCTTACCGTTCTCTAGAAATAAGAGAGAAGAACAGATTACAAAAGAAAAAAATACCCATAAGATGATGTGAATTCTAGATTTTCTTCTACTTTATGCTAGCTATTTTAAAGAGAAAACTATATCCTACAATATTCATAGACGGGAGAGCCATACATATATTATATCTGTTCGAAATATAATTTGTTCATCAAACTTGTAATGCTATCAACGCACATCGAACAAGAAAAGCGCCTGTTCCTTTGTAAGGGATTGTTTACCACTCAGTATTCCACCATAATCCACGCTTGGAAGAGTTTCCAGAAGGAAATCTTTCTTTTCAGATGATCCAATTCGCTCCCTCAAGCTGTAGCCGATTCCTAAATTAAGCTTTATTCTTTTAATTTTTCAATATTACTTAGCATAAAATATCATAGAATGCTTAAGTCCGCAACTTATAAAGTGTATTGGAGTAAACTAAGAAAATGAGTTGAATTTACCATGCATTAGGCAAATGCCATGGAAAGGGCTTTTTTAACAATTTGGACCATGAATTAAAATCATTTATGTTAGATTCTTTTTTTGCATGATAATTTTCGAAAACAAATCGGTAGTACAGCGGTGAGTATTTTGGTTGAGCTAATTGAAAGGAATCCCCGAGGAGGTGACGTAACAAAATACTAGGATGGTTTTTTAAAATGACATTTTTAAGACAGTTATGTTTAGAATTGTAACAAGTCAAAAACACTTTATTTCTCATTATTTTAGAAATACTTCATACGCGAACATCACCTATTTTAATACATTTTCAATTATGCAAAAATATCATTGCTTCTTTTTAAAACAGGTCTATTTAAACAGTTACCTATTCTCACGATACATCATACTATAAATATTATATTTCATTTGATAATATCAAGGTGTTACAAGTTACTCTATAAATTTGTTTTTTTAAATTTCATTTCAAATTATTAATTTTTATAGATTAAATAAATCCATTTAAAACAAAGAAAATAAACTTTTAACAAATGTTCCCAAAAATTACCACCGTATTTAGTACATAGCTCTAAATATTCTTGAATGGAAGAGGGTGTCCCAATCCTGGTGATTTTAATCTACGTCTCTGCCTAAAAATTGTCCAACTTTAAAGAAGTAATAAAATAGCAATAAGATTTGCATAATGCTCTAGATAATTCAAATACAGGTAAGTATTATATCAATGTCTACTTGTATATCACCACAGCTTTTCCATCTAACAAGAAATTAATTTTCTTACCAATTGTTGGGCGACTTGTTTGGTCATCTGGATAGTGAATGTTCAATATTGGCTTTTCACCAGCCATACACCAAGATAAAGTTGTCATTAGGTTTTCATCCTTGACCTTTAGTGACTGAATTTCTGAATCCATACTTTCCTGATTCCATTTCGATGAACACACTTCGAAAATTAGAATCAATTTGAGCAGAAGATGGTATTCCTTTCCGGAAAAGAATTGGCAAGGATCTCCTATTTAAAAAAATACATATATGGTAAAAATTTCGTAGCAAATGGATTATCGTATTTGTTTTGCTCATTTTTCATTGTTTTTATATAGTAATGTACTTACCTGAGCAAACATTTCCGTAAAGAACTATTTTTGTATTATCACCTTGATTACAGGCTACGGGAAAAAAGAAAAAAGTTAAATGGACCTACATAAATTTTCTTGAAATATTTTAAAAAACAATATAAATGCAGTTTTTCCAGAATTTTCAGCGTATTTCTTCAATAAAATTGGTTAAAAAAAGAGAAATGAATTGTTTTAAAATGTTGTAACATGCAGTATATATTTTACCTGGAGTTAATGGAATGGATACACCATCCGCCATTGGGTTTGGTTCTGCAAAAGATCTTGACAGTGACAGCATCTTTTGTTATAATTTGCAAAAAAAGTATCGAGAGCCTTGAAAAAAGATGGAAAAACCGAAAGAGCCATCGCCTTTTCTTCCTAATTCACCAATAGAAATTTTTAACCAATTATCAGCTACAACATATATGAGCTAAGTAGATTTAAAACGAGTTGGTAAAATTAACTTGGAGCTCCTAGTTTCTTTTTACCGACAAAATCGTATAAATTCAACTAATTTCGCAACAAAATACAACACATAATCTATCAAGATAAGGAGCTCATGCCGGTCGGGTGACTGTTTGACAGGGGATACTTCCTCTTCCATGGCACTTGATCCCATTTCTGATGTTCTCAGAGCTCTGTGTTTATTTTCTCTCAATTTATATTGATTAAGTGGATTTGAGCAGGATTACTGTTTCTTTTCAATTCACCTATTGCAGTGTCTGTGTACCTACTGAGAGTTTTTTAATTGTGCTGTTAAACTGTTGTAGTGAACAGCAGGTCAATTGGTGAATTAGACAGAGAGTACATTAAAATTAATAAAGCAATCATATTGCTTGATACGGCCGAATCCGATTATAATTTACCGTATTCGCTACAGATATAATTGCGTTACATTTTGCCGAAATGTATTCTCAAAATCATGTATTTCAACATCAGCCAAAATATCACTTATTTTTGGCTGCATTAACAAACATATATGATCTTGTCTTCAATATTGTTCATTTTCCTACCTTTACATGTTATTCTTGTCCATACGCTGGGACTTTGACTGCCCGAGCAATAACTTTTCATGCATCCAATATTTTCATTCCCGTAGCAGCATCGTGCGTCTTTTATGCAATTATACTAAATTTGAAAACAAGAATTTCATCATTCTGCTCTATTGGTTCATGTCTGATATGATTTTATATAAAATATATTCTGTAAAGATGCCTCATGTGTTGCGTATCAACTTCAACTACAAACAAGCATTCTGAGAGCACTGCATAAGTTACTAATCCCCCGTCAAGTGTAATCTGCGTCCCTTTAAAAATCAAAAAGGCCATAATTCCGTTTAAAAATCTTCAAAGCGGAATGAATCGCAAACTTACACTGTAACTCATCAAGTACACTCATACACGAATAATCAGCTCAATATCTGCTAGCGTGTACAAACAAGAAGTCTGTGAGACAAAGCTCACCAGTAATCGTCCCGCTCTGATGTGAATGTACGCTCTCATGTGAATATACACAAGTTCAGTTAAAGAAATAATATTGTACTTACTATGATTTTCTTTTCATTTAATTTTCATCTTTTTCATCATCATTAAAGTTTATCCAGAAAGTCAACGTCCATAGTAACAAAACATAAAAACCAAAGCATCTTGTTAGAAATAAGTTGTGTTTGTTTTTACATCAGACATATGATATGTACAAAAATATAAATCCATTCTGGAATCATTCACATTGCTCAAAAGGTTCTATCACACACTTTTTGGAAATTTAGTACAGACAGACGCATGCAAAAAAGGAAGTTGAGGGGAAGTTGAAGTCGAATTCGTACAAAAATGAATCCCACCATGTGGCATGTAAAGCAAAGAGTGTGCTAAAATTTCAAGCATCTACTGATTAGTTGTTGAGAAAATGCTGCGATGGAAATATGGTACTGACAGATAGACAGCTAGACAGACAGACAGACACACAAGGGTAAAACGGTATACCCCTCACTCCTTCGGAGTAGGAGTATAAAAAGTGTGGAAATTCAAGTGGAACAGACTGTGAGGCAGACAGACAGACGAAGGGGAAAACTAATGTCCCTTCCGGTTTCATCGGTAGGGGGTTAATAAATACAGATATTTAATTTGTAAGGCATTTTATGAGAACATTAGTTTGAAAAATGTAAACTGACACATTTTGTTTCTTTATCCACAGTTGAGTCTGGCATTAATTTTTTACACTCTTCAAGGGTATGAAACAACGCAAATCCTGATCGACATATGCCTAGTTCTTCATTTGTAGTCCCTAAAAACAACAGAATATCAAAGCATTATTTTAATGTAAAGTCTAGATTAGATAATGTCCAAAAATGAATCATTTCTATGTCAAAGATTGACAATTTCAAGCTCTAACTGGATCGTTTTACAAACTTTTCATGTTAGATATACATAAAATTGTAAGCAAAAATCCGACTTTTAACTTTACTTTCGAGGATTAACCCATGTTGTTTCGATAATATTTTTACGATCGTAATTAATATGGTGAGAAATTACTGCACAAAAACGCTCGCTTATGACTAGGGAGTAAAGAAAAATCCCTACCTCTTGATTGTTTTGAAGGAAGCTGAACGTTGTCTTCTATTAATCTCACCAGTCTTCGTAGTCTAGTAACAGCTCTAGTAGTCATGGCTCGAGTCAAGCACCAATCCCAGGGGTTGTCTACATCAGTGTAATTTTTACACTGATTGCAGCCCCTCGTCTCCGATCCACAAGACGAGGTTTGTGGACCCTCCGCCTCAAATTCAACATTTTCTAGCGGATACTGAATTAATCTGACACCAAATCAACAAACATTAATGGAATTTTCTTACAAATAATTTAGCATGCTGTTACCTTTTACTCTGAGTTCTTAATTCAAACTTGTTCAGTAATTAATTATTTCATATAGTGGTAATTATACACTAATACCAAGGGCAGTTATCAAACTTTAACTTTTTAGTCCTTTCAAATGAAATCTTTTGATTTTTTATAATAACCTATTAACACTGTACTTCTGGAATTCAAGCAACAAATAAGCTTTGCAAACGTTCTTTCCTCTATAAAATTTAGCTCGACATTAGACAGTAGAACCTAGGAAGTCCAGTTCAATTTTTACTGGTAAAGTCTAGCTATAGTGTTTTTTATCCCCCAAAATTACTTACCTCAATGGCAGTAGAACCTAGTAAGTTCAATTTAATTTTTCACTGGTAAAGTCTAGCTTTATTTAATCACTTATCTCAATGACAGTTTAAAGAAACGTTATAGATATAAATATATAAAGTGCAATTTTATAGAATGCCATTGCACATGGTGATTCCTGAATACATAAACATCTCACCGCTGCATCTGATCTAGATTATCCACACTGTATGCCTCATCCGCTTTCCCACACACTTCCTCAGCAGTTTTATCCTTTGGGTGATATTTTCCACCTCCAAAGTAATCCTTAAAAGTAGATCCAAGTGTTTTAGCACTTACTGAAAAAAGAAGTTTCAGTAGAATATGGCACTATAATTTTAAAATGTAATACATGCAGATACAGAAAGAAAAATGTTAGGTAAAGCAAGTTCCTGAAATTTATCTGAAAAACAGATTTGTCTTTGGTCTACAGTAAAAAAATGAAATTAAGGGTTTGATACTATATGTTTTAACTTGTACTTACCCAAGGTAAATAAATAATCATTAAATTTGTCCTTGTCTTCCTTCCAACTGTTCACTTTTACGATGTTGTTTGATTTCACTGCTCTTTTCTTCCTCCTGTAATTCTGGTTTGTAAATAAAGACGCCGAATCATCCGAAACACATATGTCCACCACGGAATCTTTTGAAAACGTCTCAAGGTAATCGACATCAGAACATCTAATTAATTCCTCAAATCTACGAAAAATTACTCTGTCTGTTTCCGGTTCTTTACTAGCGAGGTTCTTGCTCATAGCAATTCTGGCTGCTCTTCCGGAATAGAACAAAGAGTGATTGCCATGACTACCAAGTGGATATATCGAGGTAGGTTCGTCCCAAGCTTCTAGAATTAACAGTTTTCTTCCTGGCCATTCAGCAGCAATGAACTTGACAAGCTTAGTTAAAACTTCTGCAAGATTTGGTGTAACATATCTGTCTGAGCAAACGTTATCATCTTGAAAGTAATCATCACAGTCCTCGCAAGGATTTCCCGGATGTCCACACCACGATGATTCGTTGGATTCCTCCGACAGAAATAAAATGGCGTTCCCAAATAACTTTCGTAATCTAAATGCAGAGACAAACATGGCTAAAAATATTTTCGAAATAAAACTTACTGAAGTTGAATACAAATAAAACAATTGTTATCTGTTTGTATCATATTCTTGAATCATAAAGTAAATTGATTGAAAGATATTTTTACGTAGAGAACGAAGACGAATTTCGGAACACAACAAGTTCCTCTGGACCACAAATATCTATAGATGTAGTCATCGGTTGTTGAGTTCCAAAACAATTTGCTCGGCATTTATTGGAGAGATTTTGTTGGAGTATAGAGACACTTGTTATTCGGGCTTTAGATAATGTTGAAACTTCTCCCCTAATGAAATGAAATGAAAAAAGTTTTCAAATATACTTTAATGATATACATGTTATGCATTTATTTGAACCTTCAACTTTCCGAGTGTTATAATTAGACAAATTAAAAAGATTAGATATAACATATTTTGTCAAAGTATAAATCGTACCATATCGGAATCCCAAATGCATCTACGACTAAGGAATTTGTTCCAGTGGAAAACACACCTGTGATTCGTGATGTCAAATTTGCACAAAGTGATACATCAGCGACTGATGACGTCATATCTAATTCTTGATTTAACCTTTACAGATGACAAAACTAACCAGAATTCATTTTCAGCAAAACAACATCCACTAGAAAAATAACGCTTTAAACTTACTGAGACATAAACATTTTACAAAACAAACATACCTTACAGTAAAGGGAGATCCAAAATCTAATCGAATGTCTCTCTCCCTCCATTCAATGTATGGCTTAATAAAAATCTTATCAAAAAGACAATGGGAAAATTTTAAACAAGGAAAAAAAAAAGTATAAATGAAATCGAGGCTTTAATATAAACGTGATAAAGAGGCAGCTTACCTCCTGAGAAATGGTGACATTAATTGAGAAAGAATCATTGGAAGTTACTTCATTACGTCGACTATGCTGCATAAGCCAATCATATGTTGAGATATAATTTGGTTGTTTCCCATTCTTTTGACTATGTATATTAGCTGAAAAGAAAAATGTGTAAAATAAAGTTATTGAAATTTTTTCTCAATGGGGAATAACCCTTAAGATACTTATATGGATAAACTACATACTTAGTGCCTTATTATTTTTTTCTATAAATGCAAAATGGCTCAGCGGAAATAATAGATACACTGTACATGAGAAGTGTTGAAAATACACTGACAAGTAAATGTAAGCAATAAGAATACACTCACATACGACAAATTTTCCTGATGTTTGGAAGGCGTCGTCTATCTTTACCTCTCTGGAAGACTTCATAATTACTTCAGCAAACAAATATGTGACTGAATAAACTTGTATAGCCAGATGAATTGGAGGAAATCTTTTAAATGTTGCTAGTTTAATCGGATGGAGGAAAAAAGGACCTGTCTTCATTATTTCCTTTTCTATCATCAGAGTTAATTCTTTCTGAGACTCGACTGTAAACTGATAATTATTCAGAACTACGCCTTCTATCTGTGAAAGGTACGAATTGATGATGGGTTTGTTGTTTGTTTGGTTTCTTCTGATTCTCATTTCTCTATTTAAAATATATTCAGAATATCTTAAAGTCGATAATTTGTAAGTTAATGTTCAAGACAAGTGCTACAAAATTTTAACTCGATAATAGATTGTTAAAATCTGAAATATTATTTTTTCTACTCTTTGCAGTTAAACAGTGATAGATTTCAAATTATACTAACAAGTGGTAAGATATATCAATCGTCCCAAAGCAGGAAGAACATGTGAAATTAAAATGTGTTCCCGTTGCCTTAAGGTTTTGGCTTGACGAATTGTATATCCGTATTTCTGGTTCCGGATTATTAGCCACTTTCAGTAGAGAGAAAGGGTTTCTTTCAGGATTAAATACAATTGTTGTATTGGCTATTTCTTCCCAGTTGATGCTATCCAAAATGTTTGAAAGAAAATTCGAGTTACTCCTTTTAGAACGATGTCTAGCATGAAGAGATACGTCGGCTTCTTCGAAAATATCAAGAGGGCTGTAAGATACAAACAGAAATCTAAACATTACTTTATCGTCTATACAAATGCATAGTAAGTCAAAACTGTGATATGTACATGTAGTATACTTGCCTTGCTTGTTCTACTGTTAGATATAAGAGACCTTTACGTTTGATCTCTATGTCAAGTATTTTTCCTAAGACTCCATCACCTTGTTTTGTGTATGCAAGTCGGCAACCAAGGAATGCACTTCCAACAACTATATCACCGATTTTCCAGTCTCTCATAGAATTCATGGACACCAAGGATACTTTAATTAAGGCATCACGGCACATTGTTTTCTGCAATACATGTATATGTTGTGATTTGTTATCCTTGACTTCGAAAATTCCTAAAGTTTGCCCATATAAAAACAAAATACATATAACTTTTGACAACCATCAAATAATAATAATGATGATAATAATAATAAAAATTATATAATAATAAAATAAAAAAAGATCGATCAAACAAACAAAACTCAAATAAGTATTAAAGAACACTAGTACTCGTGGACAGGATTGTCCCTATCCCCCCTTTCAATATTTAAAAAAAAATTCTGATTTTTAAAAAAAAAAATGTCTAATCTCTGACAACTTTATCTATATGTCTCTGTTTGAAAATATCACACACCCCCTCACACACACCCACCCACCCACCCACCCACCCACCCACACACACACACACACACACATACACCCACACACCCACACACACACACACACACACACACACACACACATATATATATATATATATATATATATATATATATATATATATATATATATATATATATATATATATATATATATATATATATATATATATATATATATATATATATATCATATCATATGCAATTTCTATTCACAGTTGTTTCACGTATATATGAAAAGTTTCGGAATCGTGGAAATTTGAAGAAAACGTTATACCTATAGGAATAACATTTAAGGAAACTAGCTGACCTGACATCTGCATGTTTTTTAGTTGACCTATGTGCAAATTTAACTAGCTCAATAGGCTTTTCTTACCGTCTTCGATCAAAACATGAAGACTTTGTTTCACAGAGTTTTACCATCTGTTTCATATTTTGATACTTTTACTAGAGAAAGACATTGATGGCAAACTAACCACTAGACTTCATGATAAACGTGATGGCTTTAATTTTTTTACTTCAAATTCCCTTATTTATGCAGCAATATACCACTTTCACCTGCATATGGAGTTTATGTCTATATACATTACGCAAGAGCATGTTCTACGTACTAACAATATGCCTAAAACGAGGTAGTATATTGACAAATAACTTGACGATACGAGGATATCAACATTCTTGTTTAAAGTCAACATTTCCATGGTCGGTTCAATGACCTAATTTGCAAATAAAATATGCCGTTAAGTCAATTTTGACTTAACAACTAATGTTTACAAGTTGTTAGGCCATTATTTTCACAGTGAATTGTCTACGGATGTTTCCGTTCATCCGATTATGACAAGGGTACCCGACGTGTGTGACCAGTCGACAGGGGATGCTTACTCCTCCATGGTACCTAATCCCACCTGTTTTCAGAGGTCCATGTTGGCTCTTCTCACAATTTGTATTGTTTCAATGGACTTTTGAGCTTGCCTATTGTTCGTTATCTTCACATTTCACTGTGGCGTTTTCAACTTGTGTGATTATGTAAGTAAACAAAATATCAAGTCTACAGTTATCAGAATAACTGAAAAGAGCATTAAAAAAGTCAATAAATAAAAAAGAGTTGTCATTTTGAAGACTCTAGTCGAGTGCGCATTGTTTAAATTAAAACTTTACCGCAACAATGCTTTTGTCATCCAAATCGATGATATTTCGTAGTCGTCCTTGTGTTGATACGGTTAATGTCCTTCCCGTGTGCTTCTCATATGTTTTATACTTCTCTGTAAAAGTTTCACTACCACACACTTCCAGATAAAAAAGTAATAAATAGCTCATATAAAAGATCCACATATTCAAGCTCAGTCCAATGTACAGTCTGGATTACTACCAAATTCGGCAAAATAATTTATATCTCTGTTATCATTAACAGTTACTCACAAACATGGGGTATAAATCTTTCTGGGGTTGCTTAAAGTCCAATAACAAATAGGCATCTTTACCGAGGTAAACTTTTTTCAGCTCTTGATCATGTGAGAGACAACCAATCGGGTTTCAAAATCTAGAGATGTGTCTGAGAACCCAGTTCTATCTTATGACCAGCATCATACTCTTCCTGGTTTACCCTCAATAGACTTTCCATCGCTTTAACATGTGGTGACCGTAAGACTAAGATGGGTTTCGAAAGTAACTTGATAATTTCAGGTGCCTTATTGTTACCTTTTCTGTTTGGACAAACTGTCGGATACAATTATGACATAGGATTTGAATATCGGTATCAGTACAAAGCCGAATCACTGGTCCTGGGAGATTTCAGAGTCGTTACCATTGTCAAGGTAACCTTACTTTTGCATTCCTTTCCACCGAAATATACACTGACAACAACTTAATTTGTGTCTTATTTCTTTCAAAGATATTTCTGAAAAAAAAAAGAAAACTAAAAGCAGGCAGAAAAATATGAATAAATATGACTCTTTAATCTTTATTTTTTTTTCATATAGATGGATATTACTATATACATTATGTGCATTAAATAATTCTACCACTTATTCTAGAAAAAAAAGACTTTGCTTTGGCAAAGATGGAACAGCTTTGCTAGCACACCCCTTGTTTGGTTGGGCCAAAACCTTGACTGTATTTATTTGATAATTTTTGTAATAAATTCGTATTGATTGTAATAGTTGAATATATTAGATGTGAAATTCTTTGATTTTCTTAGAATTTTTCTTTTAATAAATTTTTGTTATCAATATGATAATCTCATAATTATGTTAAATTCTCATTAATTAATATATTATTATACTCCGATTAAACCTTATTAATTAAAAATCAATATTTTAAAGAAAAGTCTTACTTTGACTTTTAATTCAACATTTTGAAATATCGACGAAGTTTTATCAATGATTAAATTATTTTCATTTACATTTCAACTCAGTATATCCCTGTGAACTCGAAATAAAAGACACAACAGAGTCTGCCGCATCTGCTTCTATTGACTCAAGACGGTAATGGCCAGCTAACAACCAATCTATACAAAAATATATCTATAAAATGGATGATCAGCTTATCCATCGTCAACTTATCCCTTATTTATGTAGTACTTTTCCACTATCAACAGCAAATGGTGTTTTATTCGATTGCTGATTTGGTACGCAAGAGTACGATGAGTTTTTAAACCGAAACAGGCTAATGAATAAGTTAATTGAACAAAGTTTTCATTTATCTCGTTTTGAAGTAAGCATTTTGCAAATTCTCTGTTGGTTATAATGACCTTGTGTGCAAATTCAACCTAAACTTAGATTGTATTATGCCTGACATATTTTAAATCAGTTGCTAAACCATTGGTTTTATACAAACGGAAAACTCTGTTTACCTGATCATTACAGAGGGACCACGGCGGGCGTGACAGGATTCTTGCTCCTCTTAAACACGTGATTTCACCTCAAGGGGTCCGTATATGTTGCTCTGTTTACGATTCATTTTTTAGTGTAGATTGAAGATTGGTAACTGTTCGTTGTCTTAACCTTTACACTTAATAATATGTTTACGACTATATGATAAAAAATGAGTGCAGAGATCTAATTTACTAATGATGGAAAATCAAAAACTTAGATTAGGTGATAATGGGGAAAATTAATTAATTCAAGAATGGTTTAGAGATGCAGATATTTTAGCAACAGAAGCCTTCTCTTAATGAAGAGAAAACCAAGATTTTTGCGACACAAAAGTAAGGCTTTCCAGAATCCTCCTAATATCTCATATTGATGTGACCTTTGGTCATTAGGATTTTAGATAATAAATGTATATATATTTAAATTTAAAAATAAAATAATGCTAAACATGTTTAATCTGTACTATATTTGTATTTTTTCAAGTTAAACAAACGTTTCTGTTACGTAATAAAGATTTGCAGAATTATGGATCTTATAATCTTAAATTTTAACCAAAATGTGTTTAAGGTCAAGATCTAGTAAATGAAAGGTGCCTTCAGATTTCTCAAATTTGAGAAACAAGTTCTTTCAATGATCCTTTACAAATATAGCTTGGCGAAATTAGGTGTATCGGGACATAATTTTTCGGTAAACGCAACGAAAGAAGACACTTTAAACTGTTATTTTCAATGAAAAATGAAGGAACTCAGGTATAAATATGGGAGTTTTTTCCTTCTCAGAAAAAGAAAATGTATCAAAATTGCCTACAGTCTCTCAGAAAACAGTTTTTCATATCTTCTTGATCTCTTCTTTAAAATGATATTAATTTGAATATAGGTATCGGGGTTAATTTTGACATGATTTCAAATTGAATTCCATGAAATGTTTCATTTTCTACATAATTCTATAATAGCTGTAAAGTACGGGAAAATTAAGTTTAAATCAATTATGACGTCATAATGGATCAAGCACCAAAAAGACAGTCTAAACTCATGATCATTTACTGGATCTTGACCTTAAGGTAAGCACTTTCGATTTTTTTTAAAAAAAATTACGAAATAATTGAAAAAGCTTTCTTTATATAATAAACTAGATGAAATCCCGCGCAAGCGCGGGGAATTGAATTTATACCGACAGAATTCAACTGACAGCCTACAGGCTTATAGCAGAAAGAAATACTTTGTTCAAAATCCCGCATGAAGTAGATGTATGTCTCCACTCCCTCCCCCCACCCGCCTTTTTTGTAAAAACGTGAAAATTAACGATTTCATCAATTGACGTTTATTTTGAAACCTTTAATACTATGTTATGGATATTGTACTTCAGATGTTATTATTTCATTTCCGTCAAGGATAAAAGTAGCGAATATGCACATTTTACTGATAAATTGATTTTTTTTTTGGGGGGGGGGTTAAAATTCACAGGTACTGTGTAAAAAATAGCTTTTAATGCCCTATGAATAGGCCAAGTATTTGATCATACAAAAGACTGTATTCAGAACCCCCCCCCCCCCTGAAATGTATTGATTAAAGCACAAAAATTTACAGCTTTAATTGTATTTGAACAATACCTTATTTATTAATTATCTCTTTTCATGTTAGCAAGTATTTTACGAAGTACAAATTGTACTTCGGGTTCGTTGCCACGATGCTTTCAGTAAGGAATATATACAAATTTTACCGATAAATTCATTAGGAAAACCTACTACATATATGTAATAGTCTTTCGATATATAAATGTATTCAGAACTTATGGTGTTATCATTGATTTACCATTATTTTAATGACCATTCACACAAAAGCTTTTTTTTATGTTCATGGTAATCGCCTCGTTTTTGTTTTTAACATCGGGCTCGATGCTGTATGATGTTCTAAAAGCTTCCGTCAATATTAAGATCGGTGAATGACGTAAATAATTTGCACATTTCCCTTTTTAATCGGTTATTACAACTTATTTCTTTTGTATCATTTAAATCAAGTTTTCATTTAATAATTTAGTGATGACTTTTCCTGAAATAAATAAACGATTGCTTGTTGTCATTTTCATCAAAAATTGCCAGTAACTTAGATCAGCCAACCGGGAACGCCACCGTACTCACGTTTTTGCTATTTCATGGCTGTTTATAGAAAATTAAAGTAGACCGTTAATTTAATGTACGATACTTACTATGCGAGTGAAATCTAAATATAGTTTACGGACACCATCTTGTATCTAGTGCATTCATAGAGGAGTTAGTAAGAACTCTGGTGCACCCGTTTCGGAGTTTATTTGCAAAATTCATTAATTTATAAGTATAGATATCTGCAATTTTTTTATTACTAAAACGCAATTTAGGAAAGCTTTATTTAATATCCTTTTAAAAACATGAACAAAAGCATGCCGGAAGTGCTTAGAGAAATGAAGTGACACTAGTGAGTGGATACTTAAACAAATATAACACGATGACTAAAAGTAGATTGAGGGTAAAGTTGAAAAATTGTGATTTGCCATAGAATTGCATAGTGAAGAAAAAAGTAAATAATACTTTAAATTTGTAAGAAACAAAGTTTAATTCTAACAAACATTTCAATGATAATGCCATATGCATTTTATTACCAGACTTTTTAATACCTTAATTTAATTTTCAGTTCCATGTTAGACCACTGGAGTGGAGTAACGGTTCTCTTATCTGTCACCTACACGTGGATAGCTTCACTCAATCTGCTGGAGGAAGAAGTAATTATATTAATACCTGTTTAACATTTCTTATTTGGCTGATTCTGAAAAGTACTGGATTTAAAAAAAAATATTTTCAATTTTAAGGTGTTGACAAATATGAGAAAATTATAACATTTGAAATATACTAGTATGTTATTCTAGAAACGCAACAGACTAAGAAAAAATATGAAAGATTTAACTTTATTATTATTATTTTTTATTTAATTCATTTAGCACAATCAAACCCTGTGGGATGGAACTTTAAGAATGGGTATATATCTTTATATTTACATTCAGTGTAATTTTCTTTATGAAACCTATAGGTAACCTGCAATATTAATACCCTATAACACACAAGAAACCCTGTCACTGCGAGATACAATACACAGTAGGAACTATACGCATTTTCTATACTCTGAAATAACAAAATGTATATTGTTTTGGCTCAATTTAATTAAAAACAACTATCCTATTAAATTATCATATATACAAATATCGCAATTGTACGTATAAAATTAATTTTCCCCTCGTAATACTAGTATTAATTAGCATTATTTATCTTTCCACGTCACATCGGCTCACTTTCCACGTCATAACGACTCTTACATCTATTAAGCACACCTTTTCTGAAAGGCGCTAAATTCATAAAAAAGAATAATGAAATTAAGAATTTTGAAGAGAGAAATTAGAGAATGTAAATATAAGCATTGAATTCCTTAAGCCCTTCGGGCTTTATGGACATGACCAACCCGTATTTACATCCCGATAAAAGTTTAAAAATGATATCTTATTTCTTAATAAAAGAATATTTAGAGAAAAACAAATTCTGTAAAATTTCAATTTTCTCTTCCTTCTATTTTCAATCAATGTTTTCATTGGTTTATTCAATCTAGATTTGGTAAGAGTTCCATCTCTTGACTTCTAAACTTAACTTAGTATAAGTATAAAATAAGGAAGTTTTTTGGTATGAATGAGGTCAGCTACTTGGTTTATGAGTATAAAAATTATATTTCCCCATTATAACATTAAGTGTTGACAAAACAATTTCTACTGGTACTTAAGATTAAGGAGACAACGTATTATCAGTTCAAATATGTATATATAATTCACAAAGAATCGATTGAATAGACATTACAATTTTTTGTTAAACTTTTCTCAATTTATTTTACTATGTATACAAAAAATTTAGGTTCGAGTTTTCGATATCTGAAGATGGTTTGATTAATGAAATAGCACATCATCATAAGGAAAAGTCTGACGTCCTTAACCTAAAGAAGGCTCTGGCCAGTGTTCTGTCAGCAAAGGGGAAGGTTAGACAAGAGTTGCAGATCACTCTATAATTGTAAATTAACAAACTCCAAAATATGAAACTGTTTTTTTTTTTTAAAAAAATATGTTTCTTTGTTATTTAAGATATTCAATATGCACATGTACACTCTGAAGAGTTTTTATATTCACGATTTGTACTTTTATAAATATTAAAATATTATTTAGAAAATATTAATGCACTTTCATAAAATTTAATTAACTTTTCTTGGAGAACTCTTGGGGTTCAGTATTTTTCTAATAATTTTTATAAGCATGGCCTTGTTTCAAAAAGATTATGACATTTGCTTTAGCTATTATGCAAAACTTATTCATTGAGCTTGTAAATTATTTTATACCGAAAGTTTGTAGATTTCTTTTGCTCTGATTGCAATGAGTTCTCTCGAAAAATATTCATTATATTAAATTGTGGCGCTAGTAGCACCTCGCCAGCAATAAAAATTGTATGATAACATGCAAAGATTTCGCTACACAAGTTTCGTTCTATATAAAATGTAAAGTTTATTCATATATCTTTGACGTCGTAACGAGCTGCTTATTCCGAAATATCTGACGTTTTCCAGGCGTTTTCACGATTTTGGTGTTTGATGTGACAGAAAAACGTCAGAACCGGCGCCATTATGAAAAGTAGAAATTTCGCCGCCCCAACTGAATTTGCAAATCGAATTAAATGTAAAACTCACAGCTTATCAATAGCACAATAATTTTAGTTCTCACCAATATCGCTTAAAAGAAAATATCATTCCACATTTCGATACAGGTCTCAAGAGATTTCAAAATACACGAAAACAGAACAAATCTCGACAGTTTGATAAAATATTTCCACCAGACACTTTATAATACAAAGGAATAATAAAAGTGATATTGGTAAGTAATAGTAAGCATTTTACTGTTGATAAGGTGTGAGAAAGACATTCAAATCTGTTCTGATGTAACGAAAATCGACCCGAGAATGCCGCCTACGGTTGAAGGCGCCGAATTTCCACTTTTCACAATGGCGCCGGTTCTGACGTTTTCCTGGCCCGTCAAATATCAAAATCGCGAGAAACGCCAGGAAAACGTCAGATATTTCGGTCTACGAGTTGCTGAATATGAACTTTTACCTATAGTGTCCGTTAACATTGAGAAAAGTTAAAAAACATTAAAAAGCTTAACTCGGACATCTCATATATGTGCAAATTTCTTTAAAATTAATATCATTCAACATGTTTAGTAAAATATATACGGTGATCATTGACTAGATAAGCAATATACATGTTTAACATTTTTTTTTAAAAGATCCACCATAGTGACAAACAGAGGTTTAACAACTGGGAACATGACCATGCAGGTAAGTGCTAAGTAATTATAACCTTGCATTTAAAACATAACTAACGAATACAGACTCTTATACTTATAACATGATAAAGATTCTTATTTTATCTCATTTTAAAATTAAACCAAGTCAATATGGAGTTTTTGGTTTTTTTTAATTTTTTTTATTGGAAAGTTAGCTACAATTGATCGAATGTGAATTTTTCTGAATATGAATCAACGTTTTAAAATGGTATTTTTATTCTAAAGGTTACATGGAACATCAATACACCGTTCACACTACAGACTCGGGCTACAGAGTAAATAAGTTCCATGAAAGCAAGAAACGAGTCTACAGAAAACATGCTAAAGTAAATTAATTTTCAGTGAATTGTTAAAATAGTATACATCAATTAAGGATTGGGTGTTCGCCTGCATCTGTTTAACAATGACTCCAAAACATTTAGCAGCATGTTCATAATGTTCTACCAAATTATCAAACAAAGGAATGTGATTGGTTATTTCATAACTGTTGTCCAGTAAAAATGCTTGACCTGTAATTTCGCATATTGCTAAGAAGGCAAACGTGGACAATAGTAAGTATTGACTTTATAGCTAATTGACCCTTGTTTTCATTCATCGTTCTGTCATGATAGTTTTCCAAGAAGAATTTATCTATATATATTCAAATATCCTCAAGCGTTTGAATGAAAAAATCTCACTGAAACAATAGCTAGATATGGTTTACTTCGTACATGAAAAAAATCGTACAATTGCTCATATGATTAAATATTTTTTTGCAATTTTTAATCAACAAATTTGAAAAAAACTAATGTTTTTTTACTGATAATAAATAAACGGTTTTACTAATCCCAAAAAACTTGTGAATTACTTTTTAAATATCAGTATCAAATACTGTAGACTCCTAAAGGAACGCGAGGAATTAAATATCGCGTAATTTCGAGAGAAGCACCACTCGCGAAATAAAATTACTCGCTTTTATTTTTATGTTGATGAAATCCACGTAAAATTTCTTGATCATCCGTTTATTCGCGTATTATTGTTCTCGCGATTTGACGTTGAAGAGCCATTTCGCGATTATAAGTACTCGCGAAAAGTTAAGGAATCTACAGTATTATGGTCATGGCAAAAATCTAGCACCTTTTGTTTTCAGAAATTTCAAATACTTTACATTACAAATGGAAAATAAACGCAATAATGAGGTAAAAATTTTGTCCTTTATTTCAGACATTACATTATAGTCACAGTGGGCTTATTGAGTATGTGAAAGCTGACGATAAAATTATTCTTCGAAGCAAAAATAAGAATAAACCCCCAGAAACAAGGTAACTATCTTAAAATCATTATGTATGAATTGAGGAAAAACAGATAAGGACATAGAAAACTGTTTTTTGTCCGTTGTCGTGCGACGTGTGTCGTTGTCGGTCGTTAACTTTTGAGCAAATTCAGCTTCTTTTGAACCACTGAACCAATTTTTATTGGCATATAACATAAATGGGAAAAGAAATGCAAAAATTTGAATTTTATGGTCCTTGATCCTCCTCCGGGGTCTGAGAGGTGGGGTAAAACCATTAAAATTAGTGCTATCTTTAACAAAATCGTCTTCTTTACTCCTGAACATCAAGCAGTCAAACTGTTAGTATAATTGTAATGATCATTGAGTCAGTCCTCCTCCATTTCGAAATTCATGGCCCGAGGGACAGAGTTTCTGGAGTCAGGACGAGGCTGTAATGACGTATAGAAATATATGCATAAATTCCCTAAGGAGGTTCGATCCTGAGCTTTTGAGCAGATTTTAGCCTGGATCTTTGTTTCTAAAATTCTGTATGATATTAAAGTTCTTGCATTAAATTTAGATTCTACAATGCAAATCAAACTATTCAATGAAAAAAAAGTTTAGATTCATACTTTTCCATGCTGGTTGCACACAAAGCTATTTTTTGCTATAAAATGTTTTATATTCTGTATTGTCTATTAAATTAATTTTTATGAATTCTATCATCATATTGTGACAGATATAGTAAATATATTCTGAACGTCCAGGAAAAAAAATGAGCCAATTTTAACTTAAAATAACATATTTTTAGTAATATCTAAAAATTTACAGCATAGACCCCCACTTTTGATTTTCTTTTCTAAATATATAAGATAACTTTAATCAATCTGCTTAAATTCAGCAAAAGTTTAAGACTTTAGTAATTTTCTTGCTTGTTGAATTTTTAATGTCAGAAAAATGACATATTGTGAGTGCAGAAAGGGCAAAAAATTAATTATGCGAAACAATTTGAAACTTTTTCTTTGTTACAATTTTAATGTGTCTTTTTAAAGATAGAATAATAGTATATTTTGTCACATGATTTACTTGCATAAACAATATTGGAGGGAAAACTTCAAAGATGTGATTTTGATTAAGACACAATTTCAGTACAAAAATGTTATATTAAATGTACCATAGCGCCAAAAGAAGCATATTGACCCAAATTTTTTCTATTGTTTTTTAATTAAGCTAAGTGTGTAGATGTAAAAAAATATTCTTGACAAAAGATGTTTAAGACTTTAAATATCAGGATCCAACCTCGTTAAAAATCTTCTCTCCCCATGTAGATAAACTAGGTGCATGATTCTGATGAGCAAGGGTGCCTCTATCAAATTGTGAATTTCATGGACCCTGTGTCAGGAATTTTGATGTTGGTAAGGAGAGGGGCTCTATTGGCTATATAGTGAAAATGCAGTATTTCTTTTAAAATTGTTTTTCTCTACTCTTGGGTATAAAGCAGATAAACTGGGTGCATGGTTATGATGAGCATGGTGATTCCTCAAAAATTGTGAAATTTGTGGCCACAGAGTCAGAGGTTCTGGTGTTGAGTTTGGGGGCTCTATTAATTATAGAGTGAAAATGCATTTATTTATATTTTTGTAAATATTCTTTTTCTGGGTATTAAACAAACAGAGTATATAGATAATGATAAGCAGGGGATGCCTCTTACAAAATTGTGATAATCATGAACACAACTGTTGAGAGCTTTTATGATTAAAATGGTTGATCAGCTGTATGTTCAGTTATATTATTTAATAAAATACTTTTAGTTTTGAGTTTAGTTTTTAAGAAACTTTTTATTTTTATTTTTTTTTTATAAACTAAGGAAAGTAAGTGGATGCCAGTAATCAAATAAAAATCCCGAGGTAAAATTAGTGTAAAGTCAATAAAAAGTTAATCATGAATGCTAAATGGGCATCAATGAATACACATATATAAACATAGATTGTCATATACAGGAAAAAGCCAAGCAATGGTAAACAATTCAAGTAAGAGTTTCTACCAAAATGGCTCTTTGTATTGTTGACTTAAGAATAGGAGGAGAACACCAAGTAAATGTGATATACATTAAGAAACCAGGCCCCGAAATCATTAAATAAACTTAGACTTAAGTCAGAATTTCAAGTTGATTATATATAATATGGAGATAACATACAAGCTCATATTCCATTAAAACAATACAAATCGGGAGCAATGAAAAAAAGTGAAAAATATATTTTCTTTCCTTGTTTTTACATTTTATGTCGTTAAATTTTGTTTCTTACGATTTGTAATGTCATATTTTAAAACTAAGGAATTTTACCGCAGGTACTCTGTTCCTGTGAAAAAAGAAATAGAAGAAGAAACGACTGGGGGTAAATGTGTTACAAACCATTGAAAAAGTGTTTATTTACAAATTAGGACTCAGGAAAATTTAAATTAAAGTTTATACGAAGTATTGGAATAAGAAATATGTTTAAAAAATTGAATTTTTGTAAAGTAAATTATCTAATGAAACTGTCATAACTTTTTAATAGATCTTTTAGCAACACAGATGTATCGATTAAGTGAGAAATGATTGCGACTTTTAAAATTAATAAAGAAGTTAAGATCTAAATCGTACGTTTAATTTATTTTCCCTTCTTTAAAAAAACTTGTCTTTTTTAGGCCTTGCCTGTTAATTGTATTTATATTGTATATATTTGTATATGTACCTTTTGTACCATTGTTCTAGTTTTGCGTGAAAAAATAATTGAATATGAAATTTATTTCTTATCAAAGAACTGAGAGATATTGAATCAAGCACATCCACAGAAGTGAAGCTCATCAGCAAAGTGTAAGTTACTTTATAATTTGCAGATCATTGGAACAATAAATTGTACTCTTGTTCTTGTTCAAGCCGAATGCTTGTTTGCCTCTCTGATTAAATTTTTTTCAGTGTCACTCTATCATCTGTTGATATTTCACATTTTGATTTCTTTTCGAGAAAAATTGTCAAAAACTAATTCAACCTAACCTTCGACAAAAAGCATTGGGTAATGGAAAGTCAAACTTTTTTGAATAAAACAGGCACATAGCGTCAGGGGGAGAGGAGGGGCCCGGGTCGGATCCCCACTTTTTTCCCAAACATTACTTTTACTATTGAAAATGTTCATTGAAAGACCGGCCCCCTCCCACTTTTTGTTGCAGTAAAGTCAAATAAGGGTAATGTTGTAGTGTACGAATAAAATTTGTTACTGAACGAAGTTGGAACCTACACCCCTCCCCCCTATGAAATAGGATCTTTGGGTTTGGACAATTTTCCTCTTTTTAAATTTTTTTCTTCTCTGGCTGCCCCCGGCCCCACTTTATAAAAAAAAGGATGATATGTCCCTGTAAAGGGCCAAGTTCCAATGTCAAAGGAAAGATAATATATGAATAGCGAAAATAGAGTGGGGTAAAATAATATTTTAATGTCTGTATAAAGTGAAATATTCAAAATATGAACGAAGTGAATTCTGTTAATTGTATTACTTCGTCGATATATCATAAAGACGAATTCAAAGCCACAAATAAGACAAGAATTCAAAGCATTTGCATTAAATATATGGAGATAAAGAACAGTATTCAAGCTCAAAAGTCCATTAAACAATACAAATTTTGGAGCAGAGCAAACTCGAACTTCTAACTTCGAAACATCAGAGGTGGGATCAGGTGCCATGGAGGAGTGAGCATCCCCTGCCGACCGGTCACACCCGCCGTGTGGTCCTTGTCGTGATCGTGATTGGGAAATAACGGAAAGAACCGTCGACAATTTATGTAAATAATGACCTAACAATTAGTATGAAAAACGTCAGTCAGCATTTGTCTACCATAGAACTTACGAAATGACGACTTTAAACGAGACTGCTGATATTCTTGTTTCATCAACTTGTTTGTCAATAACTTACCTCGATTTAGATATTGTTTATACGTAGAGCATGCTCTTGCGTATCTAATCAACTGAGAGATATAAACCCCGTATGCAGGTGATGAAGGTATATTGCTGCATAAGTAATGGAAGTTGAAGATTGAAAAGTTAAAGTCATCACGTTTACCATAAAGCTTGGTTGTTAGATTACCATTCACTTCTTTTTCAAGTAAAATATCCAAATATGAAACAGATGTGTCAGACACTATGGTATCTTTAGATTCATGCTCACCAGGATATATCGTATCGACATAAGAATGGAGATAACCATTGTTAATTGACAATACGTCGTCGATATATCTAAATGTCAAGTTGAAGGCCACAGCAAGTGTTTTTTTTCTTTTCACGTAAAAGATTTTGAACAAATTCTGCTTCATATGAATACAAAAATAGGTTTGCTAATAATGAGGCGCAATTGGTACCCATGGAAATTCCAATAGATTGTTGGAAGACCTGGTCTCCAAAAAACACAGATATTGTCAATCAGAAACTCAAGCATCTTTTAATATCAATTTCAGAGTACTTGTGTTTACGATCAGAATATTTTTAATAAAATAATGCTTCATTTTAGAATTGTGCGATTCATGGCTGTTTTCTAGCTGGGGCTAGTGGTTTTACCCTTTTACTCGATCGATAGAGCAATGGACTGGAATGTCAGAGTTCAATCCCAAATGGGGGCAGAAACCTATCATTGTTACATTATTAAAATATAAAACACCGCTCAATTCCTCTCGTTGAAATAAATATCCAATTTTGTTCAAATGATGACCTCTGGTGGCTAGGGAGGGACCAAAACAGAGGCTCAAAATTCTACATTTAAATATAAAGGGAAAGTCCTGGGGAAAAAATCTTCTATTCAAGAACAGAAGGGCTTGATTTAGTTATTTTTCTATTCCAGTATCCCCATATAGAGTAGATTTATAGCCCCGCCCAACCCCTGGACTAAGATGTGCAAAACTGAGGATCAAAATTTGACATAGGAATATGTAGAAGTGTTATATCCAAGTAATTAAAATTAAAAAAAACACCATAGAGTCTAACGCATCTGTTTCAAATTGTGATTAATAATTAAAAATTGCCAAGCAACAACTTGACAACTATGACAAACGGATGACTTAAGTTTTTCCGCCTTCAACTTCCGCTATTTATGTTGTTACGCTATTTATGTTGTTATACTCAGTTATCGTCTTCTAACTGATTAGGTCATGATCTGAGTACGATCAATTTATAAACCGAGGCAGAATGCCAGGCTTTCAACAGTCTCGTTTAAATTTTTGATTGTTAGTGCTAATTTTTACTCCATTTACCTGATTAATACAGAAGACTCACGGAATATAGACAGGTCGACAGGGCACAGATGCACCGGATCTCATTTCTGATGTTTCCAGAGATTCGTGTTTTTGCCCTGTTCACAATATGTATTGTAAACAAGTTTTAAAGTTTGCTCATTGTTTGTTATCTCTTGTAGACAACTCAGCAAAGCGTATGCAATTTCACCACTGCACAAACATTTGAAAGTGAAAGACAGTATCGTCGTTCAAAGGGTAAAAAAATTCATTGTTAAATGAAATGAATATTCTTATTTCTGCATTTTTTTTTATTTTGAAATTAAATAACATTTATTGTCATGTTTTTTTCCTACAGGAAAAACATGAAAAGACCAGTTTATCAAAAGTTGAAAGAGATATTGAAACGAATGTAACTTGCATTCAGTCTTATAAGGACGAAGGTAATTTATTCAATATTACATGTTTACACTGGCATTTCTTTCACGATATATTTATAAATAATTATTGGTCTTAAAGCTGACGCTTTAACATGGATAAAATACCACTTATAGGAGTTTTTCCCCTCTCCGTGTTGAGTAAAATAAATATAGATGTAATATCCAATTTATCTAAGTGTTTACAAAAAGACACACTTATTTTGGACATTTTTCAACACTTTCTATATGTTGTGTATGCTTATATTTACACCCACTGAAAATTTTCTCCTTTATTTCTCTTTCACAAATCGGCAAACTCCGATTAAAATCAGTTTCTTCTGTTCAATTCACTTGTATATATTTTTATGTAATATGCTTTTCAATCAAAGAAACTTGTAAAATTTACGGTTGCAGCTATTGCAGAAAATAGCCGGGTTATGTATTTTTTCTGCAACAACTGCGACGTCCCCGTACCAACAAACAAAACATTTTATTGTTTAAAATAAGTTAATACATTTTAGATTACCATGGTAATTTTTTTCACTTTGTACACCTACATTGGCAGTTCACGGACACGATGGAATCATACTCTCAATATAACAGAATGAGAAATGTGATCCATCATGTTTTGATATTTTTCAGTTCACAGAAATAGAATGGATTGTTTCGCACACCTCTTACAGATAATGCAGCGTATTCGGAAAGATGGATACGAAGAACTGGCCACCAGAGAGCTTTCTAGGAAATGTCGATCTAATGATACAATGTGCTTTAGCAGAAGAAATATATTCATTGATCTGTTATTGAAAGAGGGACAAAATATTACACAGAATTTAATCATTCAACATTTCTTGAAAAACAAAAATGTCAACGAAACCATTATTTTTCGGATATTCTTCCATATCTCGGATTTGAAACATCCCTTATTGGTAATTTTGCAAATCAAGAAAAACATTTTTAGAGGATTGTTTGCATATTTTCGTTTACTAGTGTTTATTCTCTGTTTGAAAAAAAATTTGTGCCTATAATTCTTTATCCTGCAGGCGTTTTTGGAGGCTGTTGAAGAGCTGTGTCTTGGCCCCAACCATACAAACATAGGTAATCGGACAATTTTTTAAGGACTTACGTAAAATGAGGTTGCTGGAAAATTATTTATTATCAATAGTTTACTTTTGTTCTTTATCTTTCATGATTTTGTAAGGAACCATCGCCATGACAAAAAAACAGAAGTATGCCTGCTTGGCGCTTGGGACACTGATAAAGACTTTCAGAAACAATAATAAACATAGTCAAAAAACAGATCATCTTTTGGATTCCCTGAAGAAGTGGTTGTCTCCACATAACCAGAGTAAGAAACAAAACAGTTATCTACTTTAGGATGTCAAAAAATGTGATATTAACACCGGTGATTCACATTAAAGTTAACAAGCAACCAAACATATAGAAAAAGAAATCAAGAGAGAAAAGGTTCGAGAGATGAGTTTGAAGATGCAATGCTTCAAGATATGACAATACTAAAAATTTAAAGTATTTTTTTTTCAAACTTTTAAAACATCGATCTTAATAGATCAAAGTTCTAGCTCTCCACAGTCACTTGATTTAAAAAAAAAAAAAATAAAAACTGCATAGTTATATTTCATTGGAACATTTAATTACATATATTTATTTGTAGGAACACTCATTGAAGATAAACAGAATAAATACAGAAAGAACCCAAATACAATACAATTTAACATAGATATAGAAATATTAATCTAATTTCAATGATGAATTATTACACATGTAAATGTAATAAATACTAAACCATTTTTTCTCATCTTTGAAAAATACTTTTTTTCTCCATCAGCAAATTATAAAGAAATGTATAGAGAACAAAGGCAACGTCGCTCAGTCGACAAATTTGATAGAAAACTTCATAATCATACTTACTCAAAAATGGTGTTGATTCACACTCTGGGAAACTCGGGGAGTGCAAGAGACCATCTTTTGACGTACATGAAGCCGGGGGAAGGCGATAACAGCTGGAGAAGGGCAGCTATTTTAGGAATGAGGCACTTTAATTGTGTAGAGGTATTTAAACAATTTTTATTAATTTAAATTAAAAGATTTTTTTCTTTGATTGCAAAAGTATGATGCTGTTGCATTAAGTGTTTTTTAATTAAACATTGCATAGAGTTCTGCTACTTTACTTGATTTGGCCGTTAACGATGAACATGTCATAGTTCGAAAGCAGGCATTGGAACGTTTTGAGAATCATCCTTTATCAAAGAAAAGTGTTTCACAGCATCGGGATATCATTTTGAGGTATTTGGAAAATGAAGTAATGAAGTCCAGTGTGACTTGTATTTATTCCAATGCATGCTAATTGTGGAATGCTTTGTGAGTAAAATGTAAAATGTAATTTTAAACAATAATTTCTGAGGAATAAATTATTAAACCTTGTTCAATTGTTCTTTGTCTCCAGTAAAGAAGCAAAAATCAAATTATACTATCGCCTATGTTTCCTTCAAATACACTCTTCATTTTTCTACCAGAATCTACTCTGCCCTTTTTTGCCAAAAGAAAATATTTACATACGTTGAATTGAAAGAGAGCATTTATTACAAAGTAAAAAAGTAAAAACAATATTCTTGTAGCAGTTTTAGCTGATAATAAATATATGGTATACCTTTCATAGGGAAAAATTAAAACAACCACAGATATATACATCACAATAAGTGCATATCTTAAATTTACCCTAATTAATATAGAGTATTTATGAATATACATCATGTAAAACTGAACATGTATACACAATAAAAACACATGACCAAAAACTGCGGAAAGGATTGGGCTGACTTGATTAAAATCATGCCAAACACAAGCATAAACACATTTTCAAATAAAAAAAACTGTAAAAAAGATAGGACTAGCTTGGTTTAAACATGATGGGAGTAGCTTAGTTAAAACATGGGACTAGCTTAATTAAGCATGATCAATTAAAAAATAGAATAAGTAAAGGTGGATGAAGGAGAAAGGGACGGTCAAAATCTCCTCTGTTCTAAAATTACAGTAAACAAAGATCGTGGGATCACAAGTAATAAATGTAGCAGGTGAATCTAAACTGTATGTATGTCAAATCCGAAAAATACAAAATTAATAATAAATGCTAGATATGGTATAAATTATGTTATGCTTCTCTTAAATGCAATTATATTTTTTAGGAAGTTAACCTAATTTACTATTAAGTCCAACAAAGATGTAATTATGTTTGAGAAAGGAATATATTTAAGTGCATAGTTTTTATTATCGGTAGTCGAAATTTAACTTGAACGCTCATCAATACTGCACGTCAGTTCAGTTCTTTTATTCCTTGTATCAGCAGATACATCAGATTTACATAAATACATACATCATAATAAATTACATGGCTCAAGAAGACAAAATATATACTCTGTCTCACACAAAAGAAAGAAAACAGACAATGAAAGTAAATGTGCGTATATCTGTAAAAATATATTTTATTATGCCCCCTTCGAAAAAGGGAAGAAGGGAGGGCATATTGCTTTGCTGTTGTATGTCGGTTGGGAGGTCGGTCGGTCTGTCTGTCTGCCTGTCGGTACATCTCTTTCTTCATTTTCTTCGCAGAGGATGCACATACTGAAATGAAAATTGGTATAAAGATTTATCATATAAATACCTAGGTCAAGTTATGTTTTGGATACGATCGAGCAATTTTTGACAAAGTTATGCCTCTTGAACTTAAGAAAATTCCAATTATTTGCAGTCTCCGTTCATTTTCTTTGTAGAGGTTGCACATACTGAAATGAAATTTGGTATACAGATTTATCATAAAAATATCTAGGTCAAGTTCTGTTTTGGGTACGATCGAGCAGCTTTTGACAGACTTATTCCCCTTGGACTTAGAAAAATTCCAATTATTTGGGGGAGGGGCATAAGTGTTTCACAAACATCTCTTGTTAGAGTAAATTACTTGTTCTTAACTATTATTATAATGAATCTAATTTGCCATCCCGAATATGATTTGCTTCTGTATAAAAAAATAGCAAGAATTCTTAATTTTCTTACATTTTGAACACTGAATAATTAGATTAATATATAAATTCTACTATTTTGATAATAATATTTTTATTTTATATATTTCTTCCTTAAATTTTCATATGTTAGGCACTATAAAATAAAGTGGAATTCGCCTTTTATTTCATTCAGATTACATAATATACATTTTCTTTCATTTCTTCTGATATTTCTGTATTTTCCCCTTTCAATATATAAGTTGTGATCAGATGGTCTAAATTTTAAAATTATTTCTCGATTTTTAACACTTAAAGGTTTGTTAAGATAGTATTAAAATATACATGTATAATGATACATTGTTGCTATATCTTTTTTTTTTTTAAACCTACATTGATCTTGTATTCATTCTTCTGTACCCTTGTTATAAAATATGTATTTCCATTGTAGCCGGGACTACAGATACCAAACATTGATGCGTATAAAAAGAGGAATTCTGAAGGTCCAAGCTGGAATAGACGGTTTCCTCTTTTCTTTGAAATTACCGGGTGTACAGTGGAGTAAGCAGCTGGGGAACAGCTCACTTGGAGCCACATTTGGGCTTGAATTGAGAAATGAGTTACGGCTAGAAATAAGTACGTAATATAAATCTGACGCATAAGGCTGCGTAAAAATTACAGAGAATTTGAGATGAATAAATAAATAAATCTGTAGACATGTAATACATGCATTAACATAAGAAAGTAAATCTTCAGAACCTCTGAGTGCACACGCGTTGTTGGATATTTATGATGATGCTTACGCCAAAGTCACGATTGATTGGCTGGAAATTGACGAGTACCTGTTCCGTGCTCATGTGTGCTATAGGGGACATGCTGGATATGATGTCAATATTCTTAAGGTATAATGCTCTTCTCTTGTCACAAATACTTCCATAACCATTTTTGAAAATAGGCATTTCTATTTTATTCGAAAGTGATAGTACTCATCCTTGCACTGATGTGATATGAATTGTATTTATGTAAGGAAAAATTTTAAGGTTTTTCCTCTTTGTTTCTTTATGAAGATAGGAAAATATCTTCAAGCTTTGCATAGATATTTCAAATAACTGATGAGCTTATTTGGAAGCAAATTTTAAAGCATATCATCTGATTTTCAATTTTTACTGCTCATGCACTTTTTGTGTCGCCTGCAGAGCAAAGTGACACTTGAGGATCACTTAATCTGGCGTCCGTCTGTCACACTTTGTATCTTGAGAACAGTAAGAGGTTCGGATTTGATATTATGCATATATATTGCTTGATACTTTTGTTTTTATAAAATGCCATGGTTACGGACCTCGTGACCCTGAACACGACCCTTGATCTACTTTTAAAAATACATGTAGTTCATTGTGCCGATATACAGCAGATTTTTAATATTAAAGAAGTAAATATATGCTATTTATCATGTGCTCTGTATGCCATAAAACAATCTACAAGATGTATTTGTGAAACACTGATGACATCGTAATGCAGCTAATAGCAAAGGTTAAAGTTTCTCAAATGCAATTCAAACTCCAAGGCTAAGAGATCGAAAGTGTTGGTACCCAACGACAAGTCTTGTTACAAGGAATACACCTCTGAAATATGAAGGTCCTTGCAGTAACCATTCAGAAATAATGATCAAGGTTAATGTTTTTCAAAAGTAGTGAAACTCCAACGTTAACGCCATGAAGTAAAAATGTTAAGTACTTAAGCAAAGACCTTTTCACAGGAAATACACCTATGTAATATGAAAACCACAGCACCAAACGTTTAAAAGTTATGACCAATGTTAAAGTTTTTCTGAAGAAGGTTAAAATCCAGGGTCAAGGTCAAAACATTAAAGATGTTGGTACCTAAAGTATGTCACAAGAAAACACATGTGAATTATGAGAGCCCAAGCAGCAACCGTTCAAAAGATATGACCAAGGTTAAAGTTTTCAAAAGTGGGTCAAACAAATGGAAGAATAATATGCCCTGTGTAAACAATGTTAATTAATGTATCATTTAAGGTTGATATTATCAGATTGATTAAGTGTATTAATATTGTGATATTATCTTGGAACTGTCTGTGTATTAGTATGTTATATAATATTTATACAAATGGATATATATTAAATAAAAAAAGTGGGTCAAACTCCAAAGTCAAGAGGAAAAAAAAATTACCCAAGGAAGGTTCTTGTCACAAGGAATACGCAAGTGACATATCATAGCCCTAGCACCTTTGGCCAAGATTAATGATTTTCAAAAGTAGGTCTAACTTCAAGGTCTAGGTCGAAACGTCAAAATTCTTAGCCAAGGGAAGGTCTTGTCAGAAAAAATTGCACATGTGATATATGAAAGCTCTCTCACCAACCATTCAAAAGTAATGCCAGGGTAAAATTTTGCAAAAGTGGGTTAAACTCCAAGGTCAACCAAGGAATATACGTGTGAAATATTAAAAACTGTAACTCTTACCAATCACAGGTTACTGTGTTCGTGGACAAGCAAAATTTTACGTGTTCGTGGGAACATAATTTCGTGGGTCACTCGTTTATTTGATAAATCCAATGAATCAATATCTTTACAAAATAAACGTTAATTCGTGGGCAAGGGTGAACCACGAAATACACGATAATTGGTCCCCCACGAACAATGATGATTCAACAGTATGCAAAAGTAAATTTTTCGAGGACAAACAGATAAACAGATAAACAGAGAGTCGGACAGACGGACGGACAGAGCAAAAACTGTATGCCCCCAAATCTTAGATTATGGGGGCATGAAATCATTTTAATTTTATTATTCATTTTAACTTTGAGGTTTGGGGAGTCATACTTCTCTTTGATTGTCAGATTTTATATGATAAATGCTATTTTATCTGTCTTATCGATGGATGTTTTTTTCTTTGCAGGCAGATGCCTGATAGCAAAAAAATACCTAACCATCCTTAGATTTAGATTTATTTAAATCTTTAATGATGCTTTAAAGCAGGCACACATGCGTTCCTTGGAACACTCTAATTTTGTTTCATGGGAATATGTGCCCTCAAGTTTGATACAATCGTTTAACCGAAATTTCTCAAACTCCTAGTTTATTGCATCTGGGCTGTACCATACCTTTATTATACCTCCAGCTTGAAAATAGGGGGTACTAAGTAGTGATAGTGATGGGGGTGTCTGTCCATACATCTGTACGTTCGTAACATCAGGGGGGTAATGAACTTTTATACTCGTATGTGAGCAGGAACATCATTTTGTGGCCTCAGTACTAACAGTGCCTCTAGCTTTATATACGATGACGATCTTCAGAAAAATCAGAGGCACTGTGTTATATAATGAATATGAAATGTAATTAAAAAAAACCCTTTTCTCTTATTTTGAATACTATATGTTCGTGAGATTCATGTAGAACACTAATTGTGCTAATTTGCATAAATATATAAGAGGAATTTATCTACTACAGGATCAATATCCATACATGTATATATATGAAAACGCCTGTTATAATCAAATGATACTATATACGATTACTTTAAACACGTTATACGCATTGAAATGAAGTGTAAAAAAGAATCCTTTCTAGAAGTTTAGTGTAAAGAATGAATTTTAAGGGCGACAGTTGAAACATCAGAGTTCTTTTATAAGATAGTTAAAATAGAAAAAAAAGAATAATTTGAATATGTGAAAATTCCCATTTATTAATCATTCGTCCTATAATCATGATTTAAGTAATAGCAAGTTTAAGGAATTGTTTTGAGTATTAAGTTGCCTAAAGCCAACAAGCAAAAGGGAAAAATTATTCCTTATTTCTCATTACCATCATTCTATATTTCAGGACCTCGGAGTTGATGGTATCCAAGATTTGGTTTTGATTTTCGACAAAATTGTCAAATCAATTGTTGAGCCAGTAAAAGATGTCATAAAGAAATTCGAAAATATTGTCAATCATATGCTCGACAAGGGTATTGAATACATTGTCAATAAAATCATAGAATTGGTTAAGAAACTACCACTTATTTTAAAAACCATCATAAAAAATGTCATCAAAGCAGTCATGAAGGTCATTGAATATGGAGGAGTCCCTTGGATTGACCAAATAAAGAAGATAATTACAAAGACCAGGTTATTTATAGAAGAAATCAAAGAAGATGTTACACAATTTTACAATGTAAGCAGGTCATTCCTCTTGTTTTTACACTATTTCCGTCAGGTTAAAGAGAAACATTATATGTTAAGTTTATCTGAAGATGAACCTGATCTAGTTCATCAATGTTATCACTGTCTTATGCGATTTTTTTTCATATAATTTAAAATTGTGTAGACCTTACTTAAAAAAAACATGTACCAACAGATTTAAAAAAAAAAAAAAAAAAGTTTAAAAATGAAATTCACATATTTCCAGACTATTGCTGATGCTATCACGGTGACGCTTCCATACATTGGGAAGAAATTAATGGATACAGTTGCCACAGTATTTTGGGTGGTGAGAAATTTTTTGTCAGATCCAGTACAGTCTGTAACAAAGTTCGGGAAATGTGTTTTAGAGTGAGTATGATCCTGTTAATTTTAAAACGTAAAGATGAAGCTGCATACATAAATATATATACAAGTTTTGATTTTTTTTAAAACATTTATAAATAGGGTTCCAATGATTTGTGATTGGATTTATTTTTTAACTTTTATATTTTGAATAAATATTTTTAATAAATATCATATTGAATCTTAAACTATACCTATTTTAAAGGTCTAAGCTTTTTTTTGCTTTCCTATGTTTTTTTATGTTAAATGAACTATACAATGATAAATTAGTGTGCATGAATTTTATGGTAATTTAAATCATCTGTGAATTTTGTTTGTCATACAGTATAAAGCTTGCAATTGGAATGTTTCTGGACGTGAAAAACAGAATTGTAGAACAATTATCGTTTCTGAAAGGTAATTTTAAATGATTATCCCTCCCCCCTCTCTCTATATATATACTTTATTTATTCTTATCCATAAGACATCGCAGATTATGTCATTTATTAATAATAAAAAGTCATGGTAGTAAGTAAAATATTCAATTTAAATTAATACTTGGTTTTGTGTACATTAATTCCCAAAAGTTACGATGGACAATCATTTAATCAACAGGTGGCACGCCATTTTGGGTAGACTACTGGGAAGATTTTCAGGAGATCTGGGGAGATGTCGAAGATTTATTTCGACTTTTATTTGAGAAGAGAGAGAGTCCGGCTACCTCGGAGTTTGACGATGCATTTTCTACATCTCTTACAGATGGCATTTCAATGACGGTATTAGAATATTATTTGCTTGTATTTTAAAAATCCTACCTTTTCAAAGAATGGAGCACTTCCGGCAAATAATTTGATTCAAATTCTACAGATAAAAGTACGTGTGTTTAGTTTTGTCAATTCTTTTCCAGAAAGAAAGAAGTAATATATTCATCGAGATTATTGAGAAGTCGTTTGGAGCGATTACAGCTCAGTTCAAAGAAACTTTGACGGAATTAGTAGAACCCTTTTTAGAAGCCTTCCAATCTGTTTTAAACGCAGTTAAAGCAATCAAGTCTGCCTACATAGCTGTTAGAGATATGTAAGAATTTTTGTTTGCATTTATATGTACAATTTACAAAGACCAAAATTATGAAAATAGCTACATCATCATGTTTTGAAGTCAAGTCCGTCATATATTTGCAGTAGAGAAATGGCAAATCTTTTATTTAATAGATTTATGAAAGTAAAGAACATTGTACAAAAGATATTTGGATCCAAGTTCCATATTACATTCCCCAATCGACGAAGAAGTGAAGATTCCACTTGTGGAGCTGGCGTTTTTCCATCAACGACCAACGAAAGATATCAGACAATAGGTGTTGATGTGCAGGTGTCATATAAGACTAAGGTATGCAGATATCTACAGTGACTCTGTCTTTAATTTTGTTAATATTTTTCATAATTGAGAACAAAAGTAGATTTTTTATTTTCATGTTATAAAAACATACTGTGAAATAACTTATTTTCGTAGGGGTTTAATTTTCGTTGTTTTCGAGGTATGGAGAGACCCACGAAGTCATGTCCACCACGAAAATGCAAAATGTCATATACATAACTACTCAGCAATTCTTCATTCACGAAATCAAATCCCCAGAAACCTATAGATTTTCCTCAAACCACGAGATTTTGACCGCTCGGAAATATGTGATTTTACAGTACTCTACATAACTAATTTTTATTCCCTTTCATAATGAAGTACAGTCTTCTGGAAAAGTGGTTATAGTTTTAAGGTGATTTTTGCTGTGGCCGATCACAGTGTTTTTTTTTTCAATCCTAGATATCCGTGTAACCATTTGAGCGCACATTACATGAACACAATATTATTACTCATCTTTTGTTTTTTAATGTCTTTACATTTTAAAATAATGAAGAGATTGATTTTTTTAAATTCATTGATTTTCTTCCATTTTTATACATTTTGCATGATAAAAAATTGGCTGTTTGTGAGCTAGAATGTTTTCACTTCTGAAGCAGAAGTATTTCATATTTCATGAAAAAAATGAATGGTATTTGCATAATAAGTGTTTCATATGATGAGACAGGTGAAGATAACGAGTAGTGACCGATCTCTCAAACCCACAAAGAATACAAATAGTTGTATAAAGCATAAAGCACTGGAAATTCCAGAGATGGGATCAGTTGCAAAGGACAAGTAAGCATCCCCTGTCGACCGGTCACATCCATCGTGTGTTGATAATTCAGAAGGAGTAATCCGTATTCAAAAATAGTATAAAAACAAAGGCCTAAAATTGGTGTGATGTATTTAAGTCAAAATGATATCAAATTCATATGCAAATTTGTTTTGCAGATTTTATGCCCATTAGATGGCAAGGTTATCAGGGAAACAAATAGGGTGAAGATATTGCCTATAGAGGCTGATTTCATCGAATATGAGGTAATTATTGAAAACATAATTCCAAACACCTCAATCGCAGAGAGTGGTCAGTCTCTCACTGCAGGTCAAGATATCATAGGAGAAGCCGACCGGTCCCCCTGTGATGACAACAGCATCCATGTTTCAGTGCGCAAAAGGTCTTCAATTGAAACAAAAGATTCTGACTATGAATATATAGACCCGTCTCCATTTTTAGATCACCTGGTTCCAACACCAGAGTGGATCTGGGATTGCAAAGATTTCACTTACATTAATGCCATCAGTGTTGTCGCAGCTGATGCCGTTGATGGAGCTGAAGAAGGAATAGAAAAGGTAGAAGAGGAATTGTCTCGACTGCGTATTGAAGGAAGTGATGATCTTGGGAACCAATTTCCACCTGAACAACCAAATTATCGCCCTCCCGAATTCAAAGTTGCAACTCCCGACGATCCAGTCGCTGTTGATCAATGGAACAAATTTAAAGAAGGCTTCAAGGGACTAGTTTCAGGTTTTAAAGATATAGCCAAACAGCTTTTTGATTTTTCAGGCAACAGGTAATTTATGAGATGTATCAACTTTCAAATTCTTGTCTTACCATTTTGTAAGATTTAACAAGTAGCTATCAAAGTTAAGTAGAAGTTTCGTAATGACTTTGTGCAAGAAAACGAAAAAAGTACAAGAAAGTTAACGCAACTCTTCCAAACTGAATTAAAGAAAAAATATATCTAATCCATAAATGACTAATTGCATACGCAATTAAATTCGCATATGTTTCATAATTTTCAGAACTGGACCTAATCTTCTTGACCTTGTCGATGTAAATTCGTACACACTGGGTAGAATACAAGAACTGCTTGGAAAGAAAGTCGGAGCGGAAATGAAAATTATTTTTGATAAACTTATGGAGCTTCGTTCTTCAATAACTGCTCAGAATCTTGATGGATTGTCAATCTCAGACCTCCGTACTTTGCTCTCAATGTCATTTAACTCGGTGACGGGATCAAAGTCAAACATGATATCGAGAGTGCTTTCAAAAACGGAAAATGGTTTGTAAAGAATTACAATATAGTAAAAATTCCTCTAAAAGTCGGCGCAAAGACGAAGTTTTGAAATTCTGATAAAGATTGTGACAATTTGTGTAGTCTACACATAATACTGATCTTCTTAACTAAAACATTCTCCTACTCCTAATACATAGTATCGTTGATGACGATGTAGATCCAAACCTTAGAATAATATGCTTTATCAAGATCTTTGGAGTGTTGTGCTAGATAGGACTTCAGTAACACATACTTTAGGTATCTTTATAAAAAATATCAAAAGACTCAAAAGACTGAAAAATAACTGAATGACTGAAATGACTGAAAATGAATAATTAACTTTTAAAACTTAATGTTTACCTTATATCGCAATCCATTGTGTGTTATATTTCTTCGAATAATGTTACTTCTTGTAGATTGTCCCATGTTTCAAAACAGACTTTCCAAAGGCCCTGGAAATGTTTGTTTCGTTCATCGGAGTTGCAGTGAAATTTCTTGTGCTGTTTTACTTTCTCATGCAACTCACAAATTTATGGCCACTGTTGATATCAAAATGGACGGCTGTTTAAAACAAGTAACGTTGAAATCTCGGTCGAACAATGCTACTATATCTTTTGGAGATGGTGAGTAACAAGTGTTTTGATTCTTTATTAGTGCATTTTCTTCTATTTGCCTCTAGGGGGTACCATCAGTATTATTTTGAATACCATTTTACATCTTACAGCACTAAATTCAGATTATTTTTCGTTCTAGGCGAGGATATAGAAGAGAGAGTCTCGCTGGTAGAGGTATCTACATTAATGAGTGCCAACCTTGTTGTATCGATCTCATTTGACTGGTCTACACCAATCATTTCCATCTCTGCAGAACTTTGCGTTAATGATTTCATTTCATGCCTTCATATCGTACCAGTATTGTTGAACTACGAACTTGACACTACTTGTCCTCAAGGTTAGATAAAAATAAGAATGCTCCATGTATTATAAATACTTTTGTTGAAGCACCCATCATTTTCTATTTAGAAGCGGTATAAGTCACATCAAAAATGCAAATAAAACAACACTGTAGGATTTTATGGGGTTTTTTTGTTAGTAATTTTTGCTTTAAGGTTTGTATCCTTAGGGTTTGCAAAACACATGTTTTTATGTAAAAAGCAATTCGATGTCAGGTCGTAAAATAGAAGAGAGATGTCTTCAGAATATTCATAATTCATACCAGCAATTAACTAGTCAATAAAAATTATAGTAAATATCGAATTGTAAATTAATAGAAATAACTCCCAATACCGGGGATCAAAACATATTTTGGTGGTCTCATAATCTAGTTAATTTAAATCAAATTTGGCAATCAAATCTTAAAAAAAATGAAATTCTAATGTATTGAAATGCCGTTTAGTGTCCGTGTTATGAATTGTTTTGCATTTAAATGGATATAAACTTGATATGAAAATTAAAATGGTGTATTTGTTTTTTTCCAAATTTATTTTGGTATACAACAGAAGACGGAAGTGGAAGTAAGTTGCCAACTATGGATAGCATAACAGTGCAGGATTTCATAGCAGAGCTTTCAGAACATCATCTTCTCGATCAAAATATTCTACGGGTACTGGACACAATAAGGGAAGCAATGATGGATCAGGTAGGTTTTCTAGAGTATATGTCGTATATTGATAGAAGGTTGATACTATCACTTTCCTTTAAAAATTTATTAAAAGGAAACACAAAGTCACTACTCCAAGGAATGCATAACTTTCTTATAAGATAACAATCATGTAGAATTTTGAAAATATTATTTTCCATTTTCTTGAAGCATTTCTAACATTTATATATATCATTCATGATTATTCATGGATTTATATTCAAGTTAATCAACGATCCTCGGACTATTCTGAAAATCTTGGGAAAAGAGTTCAAAAATAAGATAGACTTTTGTGAAGAAGTAGATGTGCCATTTCCTACAGGCGATTTTTTAATTGCTAATGAAACATTTGGACCTATTATGGCTGGCCCTATTCCAATATACTTCGGTGAGTTTGAATGTGTTTTGGAATTTGTAGTAAAACTTTAGAAATATTGTTTTTCCCAAAGTTTTTCACACTGTCAAAATAAGTGATGAATCCGATATCACTGGATTAACCTTGAATATTTGCATCTACTGAATATTTTCTCCTATATTTCTTATGAAAACTGATTGCCGCTGTCACTCCTTAACAAACAAGCTATTTTGAACCAGTTTTTAAAGCCATGAACCTTCTTAAATGGCACCATGCAATAAGCATTTTCTTTATTGCTTTTAAAAGATTGTGGAAATTCTTTTTTTTTTTTATTTAATTATATTGAGAAGTTTTAAAGTAGCTTTTTTTCTGATTGCACAAAGAGCTTGGAGCTGCAGCATCAGTTGGGCTTAGAATACACGTGGGTCTTTGTATAAAGAATTGCAATGTAAAAGTAAGTTGAGAATTATTTCTTATTTTTACCGTTGCTATAAACTTATTTTCTTTTCAGATATAAGGGAAAAAACAGATGAGGAGGAATGTTTATCGAATTTTCAATATATGAAAAATATAAAGTAATACTATTTATATATTCATTCTTTCTCTGTTTTACTTTTATTTTACATCTATATATTTTATCAAATAGGGAATACTCACCCCCTGGTCCGGGGCTAAAGTGTGGGGCGGGGCATATGTAGGGTACTTTATATTTAAAGCCGGAATAAGACTTACTGGACACCTTCTAGAGGCCAGGTTTCCATTAACTGCAGAAATAATATATAATAAATTTCCTCTAGATGTAAGGTAAGTATTTCACTAAGATTTAGAATTATGAGGTTGCATAGTTAGTAAAAGCTGAACACGACTCTTTAATACCCATATTCCATATTAATTATCCAATCTCCGATATCAGCACTGGGGTTTGCCCCTAGGGTCACGTCCGTTAAATCTGGTTGCTTTCTTGCTACCTGCATGGAATGGACGACACGTAGCTATCATCGCCTTTGCTTATATTTTATTCCATTTTACCTGTATTTGTGTTTGTTTGCACTGCACTGACCTGAACACTGACCTGTACACTGACCTGTGCACTGTAAAAGATTAAGTTAATGAACAGTAATCATCCTCATAAATCCAGTAAACGAAACACATCGTGCACAGGGAACACCCCCCGGAAAAATCAGGGATCAGTTGTCTAGGAGGAGTGAGCATTGCCTATTGACCGGTCACACTCTATTGGTCAGATATATGGAGCATTCCGTAGTCATATCTAACTATATGAAACATGTCTGACAAAATACGACTCAATGATATGTTGTATTTACAAACAATATCATTATAACGACCAAAGAATTTGCAAAAACTGTCTTTAAATGACTTGTTGAAATCCTTGTAAGATTTACTTATTAATCAGAAGCTTGCCTCGGTTTAAAAGTAAATCGTACTCCGAGTATGCTCTTGCGTATCGGATAAGGTGGGAAACAAACACCATATACACGTGATGTTGAGAAATTACTACATAAGTATGTGAAGATGATGATGGAAAACCTGAAGTCATGCTGTTTGTCATGTTAGTTGGCCATTATCGTCTATAGTCACTAAAACATCCAAATATGAGACAGACGTGGCAGACCCTGTAGTGTCTTATTTCGAGTTCACTGGGATATATGGAGTCAACATATGAATGAAAGTTACGATTGTTAATTGATAAAGCATCCGTCGATATTTCTAAATGTCGAGTTGAAGCCACAGCAAGAGTTTTCTTCTTCTCGTGTGGAAGTTTTTTTTTTTTTGTAAATGATGTCATATTTCTTTGATAACTCTTTCTCCTGCAGTGGAAGAAGCATGCAGTAGTTACATTTTTTCACTACCGGGTATTTAACATGTAAAATGATAGTGTAGGGTACGTCCACAAAGTTGAAACCTGAAAAGCGTAGAACAATGCAACCTGACCAAGTGAACGGCTTATATAGCAAGGATCGGATCAATTACATTAAAAATCAATTAATTAAATTACAATAACTTCGTCTTTTTATTCAATTAAATTACAAGTAAATAAGAGAGCTTTTAAGACGACATATTATTAACTAAATTACAATTACTTTGCAAAAATAGCCAATTAAAATACAAATTACATTTTTATTTAATGCTAATTAAATCAATACAGACAACGGGTGATCTACAGTCTCGGGCTAATGATTCATGAAATGTACATACTTTGAGAAGTGTATTTTTCTTTTTTTTTTTAATATGTGCGATCGGTTTGCCAGCTTTGAATATTAGTTTCCTCAACACGACTTACATGTACATGTTTACCAATCAACTGCGTTTATTGAATTTAATTATAAGCGAGTTTCCGAGAGTTTGTAAATTAAACAATTGAATGACAAGTATTTTTTCAGCTAAAGGTCCTTCTTCCCCTTAACAACTGTTATATGAAAGGTAATAAGGCAGGTCTTTATGGCACATTGACCTCATTGCTAATCTTTGAAGTCGCTCGCGTGGCGCAGTGGTTAGAATGTCTGCTCTAGAATCGCGGAGAAAGGAGTTGATCCTTACATCGCGGGTTCGAATCCACTGCGGGACGTGGATACCGGTCCTTCGGATGAGAGCGTATAAACCGAGGTCCTGTGTCGCAGTAGGTGTTGGCACGAAAAAGGTCCCTCACTGCTCAATGGCTCTGAGTGCCGAGTATAGGTATAAATTTGCAGCCCTTCACCGACAAGTGGTGGCGTCTCCATATGAGTGAAAAATTCTTGGGGTTGTAGAAAGAATGAGGAATGAGAGAAATAGGGCGGACTAGTTCTTTGCACCAATCGTGTTCAGCTTTAAGTTAATGAGAAATTCATATATGTCTGTTTGTTGGATTAAGTCACTTCTACAGCATTGTTATTCATATGCACCAATTCAACTAATACTTTGGAAAGACTTGATAGAGGAGCGATGCCAGGTTTTGACAAATGATGTTAACAATTTCTGTTTTCATATAATCATTTTCGTCTAATAGACAACTAATATGTATTCATCATTATATTCAACCATGCAGAAATCAGATATGTGAAGTATAACATAAAGTTAAAAATCCAATTTAAAGGTAAAATAAGACAAAAAGAAAAAAAGAAAGATTTTTAAAGCTTTTATCATAATGGAATTTGGGGTGATGTTAAAACCTGTAAAATATGACCAAGTGTTGAAATAAAATATACGTCTTTTATTTTCGAAGTGTCCAGCAAAAGTGTAGCATTGCATAATATAACATGACATAATAAAACACAAGATTATAAACAATGAGTCTTTGCACAATTGGAAATAATGCAACAGATAATAAAAATTATTCAATGACCACATTATAAAAACAACCTTATGATTTACATGTACACAAATATTACACAATTAATGAACAAATAAAAAGGGGAATTTGTTTGAATAATTACAAATAAGATGGGGAAAATTAACTTGCATGGTAGAGAACTTTACTTAGCCATGATGAGGTACACAAGTTATGAAGGAGCAGACACAAACATAGGGTCTTATTTGCATAATCTCAAATTACATACAGTTAATTTATTTCCATGCTTTCATTCAAAAGATACTAGCTTTAATAAAGGTATAGTTGGAATTTAATCTGGACTTTTACTTATGAAATTGAAACAAACAAAAGGGTATACAAATGTCTAATAAAAACATACACAACATCACTGCACATGTATTGACATAAAAAGGTATATCAAAAATAAGAAAGTGTGCAATAATAATAATTCCTGTATTAGTTATAATCAAAATATGCAAAGTTATAAACTTACATCTTCATTCCATTAAAGTTATCAAAGTTACTGAGTGAGTTTAACAATGTTTTTCTTATGTCGAGACATTTTCACTTTGGGCGGAAGCAAATTCATGTAAACAAAGCTGAGAATAAATTTAGAACTGATCAAGTGACATTGAAACTTCCGGAAAAGTGCTGTATACATAATTTTGTAAAATTGATAAATAAGCTTTACCGAGAAATTTAGAAAAATAATTTTAGATATAAAAATAAGATAAATTTCTATCGTTACATGTTAACTTTTGTAGATCTCAATTCATTTAACTAAGCATGTCAACCACATTCATTTGAATCTATGTAAATGACTAAATCTAACAAAAACAAAGAAATTAAAATAACATAAAGTACTAGCCTACATCAATTTGCTACAAAAACATTAATTTGAACACATTAACCCTGAGATCAATAAAGTATAAAACAAATGTACAGTAAAAGCATAATTAAAAAAGTATATAAAATATTGCCTACCTGTAAAATATGACCAAGTCGTTGAAATAAAATATACGTCTTTTATTTTCGAATTGTCCAGCAAAAGTGACGCGCTGGGCTTCGACACAAAAAATCACTTGGTCAAGGTAAGGCTCATACAGGGTAATATGTAAACATATCAAAGGCGAACACGATTATTTACCTGTCGGGGGCCTCATACCCGAAAGATAGAAAAATACCAATCTTAACAAAGGACCTTAATCCGATGGACTGACACTAATTGAGTGAAGTAGACTTCAAAAGATATTCTTAATCAAGTTGCGTGGCTTTGCGTAAATGTTATTTGCTAGTAAATAAAATAGAATTTCACATCGCCAGGAAATGTGTGAATATGTACAAAACTTCTTAACTTAATGGCTTTAAGCTAAGCTAAGTGTTACTTGTTTTTCTAAGATAAAAGAATGCCAAAATGACACATGTTCCTTAAACTGTCAGACCAAAAATGAATTATTTTATAAAAGAAAATGTATGACTAAATTCAAAAGTTAAAATGAAAATTATTATAAAATATATCAGAGGGTCATTTTGACCTGATGATACTTTTAATAAATCTCCTGAAAAGCTAATTATAAGAAAATGATACATAATGTACAAATATATTTAAACAATATTTCACAGTTAATTTGAGTATGATAAGTTACAATTTTATATTTTCTTGTTTGAAATAAGACAGGTATTATATGGTACTACGTAAATTATACAAATGCAGACATTTCCTAAGAATAAAAAAGGCAGTTGAGTAAGAAGACATTTAGATCTAATTCATTTATACAAAGAGCATTTTGTTTTTAGAGGAAGCTTGGATTTGACACTTGCTCCTTTACGTCTGAAACTGGAAGCATACTGCATACTAGAATTTAAAGTCTGCACCTTGTCAAAATGTTATAATGTTTCCCTTACAATTTTTCGTGGAACACTTTGGTCATTCGCTGTTAGACCTGTATCAGCTAATATTTTCACAAATATAAAGGACGAAAAAGACGCATCTCCGCCTGAGTTTGTATCTCCTGGTTTAACCAGTCGAAGAAAAAGAGAAACAACAGACAAATGCATAATCAAGCAAATTTCAGGGCGAAATTATAACGACACTGCATATGAATTACAAATTGCTGCAGACGATGACAAGAGCAATTTGAAGATATTTTATGCTATTGGATTACAACAGGGAGGCACCAATGTTGTAGATTTTACAGAAATGGGAGGGTTTTCAGTGCTCGTTGCGACAAATGACTTGCCTAATGGAGTTCCTTTATACTGGACCGTTAAAGCAGTGAATAGCCAGGGCACAGATGCCAGAGTATACTGCATGCTTAGCACATACGACAACACCTTACCAGATGGTCGTGTTGACCCCTCGTACCTCTTTAGCGCACATCCAAATGTCTTAACTGCTACGATTACTGTATTTGATGATTCAGATTTAAAGCAGATTCATAGTCATGCTTTGGGTTATAGTTCCGGTAAATACGGAAGCGAGGTTGTGCCTTGGAAGGATCTCACGCTTGGCTCTACGACACTGAGAACAGGAATTACAAGCAACTTGAAACATTTCAGTGTTCCCAATAATGGCAAACTAACAAGTATACCATTCTCTGTAAATACTTCCCATACCCCCGAAGACTGTGCAACTCAGTGTATTAAATCAGGGGAGCAGTGTGTTTCGTTTGACTACGATTTTTTCACAGAATCTTGTGAGCTGCAAAATAATGTAGAGAGCCCGAATGTAATGTTAAGAATGAGTGGTACATATGTAAATTATGAAAGACTTGGTATTGGGTACAATTCTTATGAAAGATACGATAACATTTCTCTGGAACACGGCACGGTATATTTTTTCAATGCAAGGATTACTAATGTTCTTGGATATGTTGGATTTCTCCAGTCCTATGGAACAATGGTTGATTTTTCTCCGCCAAATACCGGATCCCTAGGCACAAATTACTCGGAGACCTTTTCAGCAGATAGTTGCAATGCTTCAGCAGCACAGCGTTGTGTTGAAGTTACGTGGAAGAAAAACCACCGGTAATTAAAAAAAAAATGTTAGCCGACACATCAATTTAAAATATATTGGTTTGAAAATTTATTTTCAAAATTCTGAATGAATTAAACAAAAGGAAAAATACTGATTTAATAACCAATGGTAATTATAATAGGTTTTGGTATTTCTTAAACGAGAAATTAAAAAATGCATCGAAACAGATACTTCAAAAATCTTCTTTTTTTTTTAAATCTATCGAACAAGTGTTTTTTAAATCACGAATCAAAAACCCGTTTTTCAAGCAGCATAAATTTGTATTTTAGACAAATCATTGACGGAAAGGGCGCCACGACAGTGTTCAATGGACACACACCTTTAAAGGATAAAATGTACACAAGATCCAATCACTATATATCGGGTAATATTTATATTTGTATTGTTATATAATAATAGTGCCTATAAGTGATTTTTCATTTAATATTAATGTGTAGTCGAGAAAATGTGTTAAGCTAAGCACATTGCATATCATAAACACTGGGATTCAAAAAAGAAACTGAAAGATGTAAATGGAAAGATGCAATTATAAAATTTTCAAGCACTCTCCGAAGTAAAAACTAATATCCTGATTAAAGCCATTCTTGCCAAAAATAAAGGCATTCCAGTAAGCACATTTCAACATAGTTAAAAATGTATTTTAAAGTCTACTGAGTCACTTAGGTGATGTGTTATTTGTTTTCGTCCGTGCTCGTTCGACGTGTGTCGTCAGCTTCTTCTATGGAATTTCTGAACCATTTGCAAACAATTTTGGTATAAAGCATCGGTAGGCAAAAGGAACAAAAAAATATGAATTCCATTGTCTCTGCATCTCTTAGGCACGAAGGGTGGTCCAAAAGAATTTTAAAAGATATGCAGTCTTCAAAACTCTTTTCCTTCACTCACTGACATCAAACATTCAAACTGTTGGCATGATTATAATAAGCATAGCGCCATCTACTATTTTGTGAAATTCTATGCCCTGACGACAGTCACACCCGCCATGTATTTTTGTCACGATCGGATAATCTAAAATCCGTAGATAACTCAGTGTGAAAGTAATGGACTAGCAATTTTTATGAAAACATCAGTTAACATTCAATTTATTGATAGTCTGTATTTGCTAACAAGGTCATTGACCACATGAATTGAGAAATGTTGACTATAAATGACCCATGCCAAGCTATAAATACCCATGTATCATCAACTTATTTGGCAATAGCTTGCCTCGTTTTAGAAATTGTTTGTACGTAGAGCATGCTCTTGCGTATCGAATGAACTAGGAGACATAAACTCCATATGCAGATGATAATAGTATATTGCTACATAAAGAAGGGAAGTTGATGATAGAAAAGTTAAAGTCTTGCTGTTCTCCAAATGTGCATTATTCATATGGACTTTCGACCTTGATTACTGTTCATTATCTTCATATTATTGATAAATAAGTAACAATCAGAAAATTATCAATACGGGGAAAAGTAAACAATCATAATGGCTCTTTTTTCTAATTAAAAAAATAAAGAAATAAAAATAAAAAAAAAAAACAACCAAAAAAAAAAAAAAAAAAAAAAAAAAAAAAAAAACAGAAGAAAACAATGCACACAGAGATCCCCAACACACAAAGGAAATAGCTAAAACTAAAATTAAACTAAACACACGCACAATTTAGAAGAAAAAACTATTATAATATTTTATTTTACATGAAAGTATAGAAATTATGTAGATACGTCCCTGTAAAACACATAAATATGTATCAGGAATATTATTGCTAGTGCTAGGTCTCTTTTATAATGTTTTGAATTTGTATGTTGTAGTCAATTTTGATGGTTTCCATGATGATGAAAGTGGAATTTACCAATACACATGGGCAGCTGGGAGGGCAGTTTGTTATGAAGACGTAGTCAATTTTAGAGATCCACACGAATTTCTTCATAGTTCGAAGCATTGGACACACAGTGGTTATGAGAAAAACATGTTTTTACTAGTATGGATGCACAATTATGAGTTAATAAAATGGATTATTCAGCAGAAATTGTACCCTATAGTTATGATCAGTTTTTTATTCTTCGAAAATTTGAATCCTATTTAATGCATACATTTTTTTTAAAAAAAATTTAGGATGGAAAATACTTCATGACGGTTCAATGTCTCAATAATGTAGTATTTGGTGGTTCTCTGGTGACAACAGTTTGTCACAGCACTCCTCTAACCGTGGACACTACACCGCCTTTCTTCAATGGCGTTGAGGAAATCTATTTCGACGAACATTTTGACATACTTGGAATATACTATAAAGCGGGCGATAATGAGTCTTTTCTAAGGAGTGTGGATTTCGGACTTGGAAAAACAAAATATGATGTTCTTGTCAGGAAGTATTCATATCACAAGCCAATGAATGGGGACGATGCTCCCTATATTGTCATAGAAGAACTAGATTTAGAAGAAGGAGTTCCAGCTTGGCCTCGAGTTCGAGTTGATAATGGAGGTGCTTTGTTCAAATTTTTATCAACATGTAAAACTGATCATGAATTTATCACACATTTCTCCAGTGACCGATATCATGTAATGTAAATGTTTACTGAAGATGATTTGCATTAAAAATACATTTTATGAATGCAAATAAATACCACCTAAATCTTTAACCTGTTATTTGGATTTTACCAGCTGTTCAATTTTGTACTACTAGTATGCAAAACATTTATTTTTTTCTAGTTGGATTATTTAAAGCTGGAAGTGGTCCTGAGCCAATTTTGATCGACAGATCGCCTCCTGTAGCTGGACAAGTGCTTGATGGTCATGTTGTACATCATGACTTGACTTATCAATCCACTTACAAGGAAATTTGTGCACAGTGGAAAGGATTTTTTGATCCAGAATCGGGCATTGACCAGTAAGTGGGTTCATAACTAAGTATAATCACATTATATGGCTATGTACATGAAAATGTCCAGTTCAATCAAATGAAGAAAAATAACATTATCTTTGTTAAAGAATAGATATTAGAGAAAACAGCTGCATAAAATTATTTTCTGGCAGATTTATTGATCAGTAAATTTGCTAGTTAATCTTTAATTAATATTTAATCTGGAGTAATTTAAAAAAGCTTTTTGAAAAAGAAACTTTATGATATATCTACGTATAAATATTTAAACAATTTTTGTCAGTTATGCATCAATTTAACATCAGTTACAATTTTCAAATTACACAGTTTTCGATGGGGTGTTGGAACTCTTCCGGGGAAAGACAACGTAGTGGCTTTTTATAATATTTCACATAACACACGACATTCTTGTTCTGACGTAGTTCTTCAACACAATACACGGTATTATTCCACTGTCATTGTCTTCAACGCAGCCTTGAATTCTAAAGATTCCAACAGTACTTCCAATGGAGGTAAGCGACTCCTTTATTAACAGCAAGCCGTTTCTGTTTTTTTTTAAACATTGCAGTTATGCTACAAAGTGACTTTTGAAGAAAACGTTAAAAATATACATCATATCTTAAAGAAATAGCCTTAACAATATATTATAGGGTTATTGAACTTCTATGAGTGAATATTGGCACATGTTGGTTGTACAAATGCACGAGCTTGCGAGTGAATTTTTACAGTCAACGAGTATCAATATTGACCAATATAAGTTCTATAATCCCTTCATTATATAGCTAAACATTCTCCATTGATTTATATTGATTTTTGAAATGAAATAACTCACAATTAATGAAAATTATTGAATATCGGCTTCTACATCAAAGAGTGCATTATCAGCTTCTGTCAGTGGAAGTAAGTGTTCAAATATTACGTCATTCCAATGACTCTACCAAACGTTATGATTTACGTATTAAGATTTTATTGAGTCCTATAGGCACTACATTATTATTTGATAAATTTAATTCTGTTTGAAAATAAAGACATTTTACCTAGAGGCTGTCACTACCAATCATAAATATTATCGTTGAACAATTGACCAGAAGACATTTTTTTTGTTTACAATTGTGCACTCAATATTGAAAGCTAGTATTTGGAATGTTTCGGGGCAATACTCGCATACGTAATGCAAACTCACCATTCAAAAATTGCCAAAATATTGAATGCCAAAATTCTCTAGACTTTTAGTAATATTTTATTATTATACTATTTCATTTTTATAATAATAAAGTTTATTGCATATTTTTTTTTACTAAACCTTAGTGCTGGTAGACAAAACACCACCAGTTCCTGGATATGCAGTAGATGGTCCTACTTTGCTCGAAGACACATCATTTTCATCAGAGACAGCTACTAAAAGTGTCACATGGGAAAATTTTACTGATCCAGAGTCTGGAATAGAGAAATACTATGTGTCTGTGTTTATAAACGATGCAAAAATTAAGAAATTTGATTCCACAACAGAATCAACTTTTATAGATCACTCGATCAGCATGGAGCATAATGACAAAGTGTATTTCAAAGTTGAAAGCGTAAACAAAGCAGGTCTCTCCACTAATGTTAGGACAAATGGATATATTGTCGATCACACACCTCCATATCTAATATCTATTCGAGACAATGAAAATGGGGAAATATATCAAACTGACGATAATTTTCTAAAGCTGAGATGGCAATTCGAAGACAGCGAATCAGGGATAAAAGAATATCGCTATACCGTTTATGAATATTTGCATGGAACGAAGAAACGCTTTTGGCCAAAGATGGAGATGTTTCTGACTACTTTACCGAATCCAAAATCAGGAACTGTTGCCGTAGATTTTGATGAACAAATTCTTGTCGCAGGTGCCAAATACTCAGTTCATGTGACAGCTATTAATATGGCTCAACTTTCTACTTCCCACGAGTCAGAGGGAGTAATCATAGATCCGACTCCTCCTGTAATATTTAAGGTGAGAAAACAACGGATATTGTATTTTATATAATCTTAATATATGTAATATGGTATTGAATACTCTTTTGTAAATATTTTTCCCCACAGGTTCACGTCGGATTGCTGGAAGAAGAAGAAGAGATGGAGAATGGATATATTCAGCATGCAAATTCACAATCGATTAGAGTTAGTTGGATTGGTGATGATCCAGAAAGCCATATCAGTAAATTCTTTGTTGCGATAGGAACAAGTCAAGGTGACACGAGTGTGACCCATGGTTATATTGACATGGCTAAAGAGATTTCTGCAGATATCAAAGTTTCACTTTCAACATTTTCCGAAACTGGCGAGATATATTACGTCGCTGTCAAGGCTGAGAATGGTGCTGGTATCTTATCCTCCCCACTCTATTCAAAACCAATAATGATTCTGAGAGAAAATGTACCAGGTATTATTTTTGATGGTCGAGAGCCTTTGATCGATGAAGATTACACTCATGACAGATTTAGTATTGGAATGCATTTCCATAGCTTTGAAAGTGAAGCATGTAATATTGTTAAATATGAGTGGGCGATCGGATCAAAACCGTTCTTTTCTGACATAAATGGATATACAGAATACGGCATTGTTCACAATGAGACTCATGGCAAAGCACAAGCACATGTGGAACTAAAAGAAAATGAAACATATTATGCCACAGTCAGAGCGAAGACGGGACATAACTGCCACGAAATGTATATTGTATCAACATCTGATGGGATAACCCTCGATGTGAGCCCTCCAGAAATTTCAAACATTGCACCAAAGAACAGTGAAGGTGTCGTTTATGACTCTGATTCTCAGAACATATTTCAGTCGTACATTGGTTCTTTCGAATACAAATGGAATATTAATGATCAGACAGAGCTACAATTTGAAAATTACTCAATCGGATCGATGCCGATGATGAATGATATCTTTTCTTCATCTATTTCTTCAGAGTCTAAAATTTCACCAAGCAATTTTTCACCAAAGGCTGGAAAAACCTATTATGTAAATGTTTATACAGAGGATTCTGTTGGCTTTTTCACGTCTTCAACTTCAGTGCCAATCGTTGCAGATATTTCACCTCCGATGCTTCAAAATTTCAGTTGTACAAACATAATATCCACTAAACAATCAACTATAAAATGCTCATGGGTTGTCATAGAAAAGGAAAGTAAAGTGACACAAATTTCTATCTGCGTTGGATCTCAAGAACTTATTGATGACATCATTCAAAACGTTACACTTCCATCCTATCAAAATGATTGGACCGTGGATGTGGATGTGAAGAAACATCAGAAACTCAATAGCCTTAATTATATTTACGTTAGTCTTACAGTTACCAATGTAATTGCTCATTCTCAAACAAACATTTTCAAAATTGAAATTGACTTAACACCACCGGTTATAAAAAATATAGAATTTGTCACTTGGACAAATCCTGATAAGAATTATACACGGCAAATTTGTCAACTGCCATGGTCTTACGTTGATGTTAATATCTTGGTTCTTGAAGACGAAGAATCTGATATAGATAGGTATTCTTCAGTAATTTACTATTTGTATATCACACACCGTATAAATAATAGTACAATCATAAATAATGCTTTTATTATACATTTACTAAACAAAAATAGTATAACATATTGTATGTTGTATACTTTTATTATATAATCAAGTTTACAAACTTGGAATAGTTTTTTAATAATTCTTACTTTTTTTCTATTTTCAGTGCTGAAATTTGTCTAGGAAGTGAGCCGGCAACCGACAATATTAAATCTTATCAAGAATTGGAAAAAACGTATATGACAATAGATAACATCTATGTCCCACCCGGAACAAGGATATATGCAACAGTCAGGGCATACAACAAAGTAGGCCTCCACAGTGTCATCACATCAGAGCCTATAGTAGTCAGTCCAGATCCTAGAATTGACGTTTTTGACGGAAAAGGAGACAGAGATTCAGATTTCCAAATCGATTTAAATTTAATTCAAGGTGAAAAAAAATATACAATTTATTCATTATGTAGACTTCAATTTTTTTTTATTTTACAGATGTATTTTTTTTTCTTTTTCAGGGTTAAAGTTTTTAAGTAATTTTTGTCTCATTTCTTACTCAAATGTTTTTAGTTTTCATTAAATCTTTCTTCAATTGATTTCGTTATACTAGGGTCTTATCAGTACTCTGATAATTGCCCGATCATAGAAGCTCAATGGTCAGTAGAAGACTTAACAGGAAAAGTCATCCAGAATTACACTGATGTTCCTGGTAATGGATTTGTTTTCTACAACGATCAACTAAGTTTGAGGAATAATTACCTTTACTATGTTAAGGTTAAAGTGACGGACGCTCTTAATCGCACGAAAGTGGGAATATCGGACGGTATCACAGTTAGAATTCAGCCGCCAGTTTCGGGAATCGTCAGAGATGGACTTGGTTCCGAGGATATCGATTATCAGGAATCACGTACAGAGCTTTCTGCAAACTGGAATGACTTTGGTGACGGGGCTTCTGGAGATCCTACTCAGAAAATAGATTACTATGAAGTTTCCATTGGTGATGACACAAGGGATCATATTACACGAACGAATATTCATTACTACATCAAAGTTGGTCTTAATACGAGTTACACATTTTTTGGTTTAGACCTGACGCCAAAAACAGTGCGATATTACATAACAGTAAGGGGGTACAGTATAACAGGGGCTTTTGAAGAAAGCTATTCCAATGGCGTTCGAGTTGGATTTCGCCCAGGAATAATACCGGGAGTGATAGAATCAGAAGACGTGCAATCCAGTACAAGCGAAATATCTGTTTCATGGAGTGGATTTAGTTCAGATATTGGGATTAAAGAATATTACGTTGCCGTATCTACGGCTTTAGTAATTAATAGTAATAAGACTTTCTCATGTTCTGACGTGCAGAAAATTTTCTCTCAGTTTGACATAGTCTCACCTAAGATAACTGGGCTCGATACCCTTCAAACTCTCAAAAATCTCACTCTTAATCACGGGATGTCGTATTATGTTACTGTCATCGCAAGTGATGAGGTAGGAAAGTGTTCTTCAATAGAAAGTCGTCCCATTCTTGTTGACACTACTTCACCAGATCAAAGTAATGTAACCATCATGGTGAATGGATGGAATGTGACGGGAAGAGAAAAATTTTTCGTAACCGATTCCAATGAAATAGAGATAAAACTTATTAATATAAAGGACCCAGAGAGTGGAATTAATGTTGTTACTTTTCGTTTATATGGATATTCGGATTGTCCAGCTTCAAAGACTCCATCAACTTATATTTTAGAAGAGATACAGGCCATAAATGACGCAAAGGTTACTATGACACATTTAGAATTAGAATCTATGCGATATTATTACATTACTGTAACGATAAGTAACAACGCTGGTCTGGAATCCTCTCTGTTAACCCCAGTTATGCTTTTAGATACCGGTTCTCCGCATGTTGGGTCGGCCATTGCTGGAAATAACTGGGGACAAAAGATATTGTATCAATCTTCCACTTCAAATATTAAAGCTTGGACAGCAATTGCAAGAACAGAAGATGCATACGAATGTGATAATACAAAGGTAATCTTTCCATCTGATGAAACTTCTCTATGGTCTCCTTTGTCAGGAGATTTTTCAGAGGGAAATGTATTGAAAGATGATGATCGTTGGGTTTTAAAAATAGGATATAATGTTCCACTCACGAAAGTGTTGAAAAGTGGAATTTCAAGCCCAATAGGAGGATTACGGAAAGGAGAGTACTCCACTATTCTATCGACGGCAGAAGGAAGGAACATTTCGACATCATTTATTGTATCAACTTCAAACAACAATCCCTATTTTCCCGTAACATTTACACGTCCGCCCCCAACTGACTTTAACAAAGTAAATTTTAATACTTCAGAAACAAAATTAAGCAGCAAGAATATTTCATATCTCTCCAATAAAACAGAAAATTGGATACCATCAATACAGAATTCGTCTTCTTCTTACGTGGTTAATAAGACTGACCTGACAAACAAAAGTGTTAAAAAAGATGTTCCCAGTGGATTTGGATTTGAAATACTAGGTGATCAGCAAGAAGAAAGCGAGGTTTGGGATTGTTTGTTCTGGGCAAAAGATGATTATGATGAATTTCATAGATGGACTCAAATACAGAATGATCCAGTTGAAAATCAGCATGAATATAGCATTCAAACTATAGAGAGGTATTCAGACGACGAAAAAGTATGGGATTTGGAATTTTTAGTGAACGGAGACTTAAAGGCCAATATTTATGGATTATCATTTGATTCGACTGACCTTAACATCTTTGTCCACACCTGGAATTTTGACAACTACGAAGAACCAATCATAGATCCAATTCATCCGTATCGATCTCAAGCTGTACTGACAAAAATAAAAATTCCTACCAATGAATCGTTGGATTGCATTAATGGAAGAGGTTTTTATGATGGTGAAAGTGGAATTGCTGAAATATGGGTTGGTATTTCGGACAATGTAGAGGAATCTGGAAATATTAAAGAGTTTGAATTGTATAAAAAGATGTGTACACCCTGCTTGTTTAACTGCAATTTCAGTTGTGATGCAAACTGTTCCTCCTACGACGGGAGTTTGCCAGATTTTGAGAAAATTCCTCTTACTTTAGAAAATCTAGATCTAAAGTCTACAATTTTGTCTAATGATGGATTAAATGCAAGTGTTCAGACAGAGATTGTAAACATGACTGAATATTATGTTAATGTAAAAATGGTAAACTTTGCTGGACAACCAGTCTCAACTATTACAAATCCAGTTATTGTTGATATTACGCCACCAGTTTGTGAATACATACGCTGCTTAGACCCTGACGTTACTGGGATGAGTACACCAACAGATAAACTAGGCTCTAATAAGACCATCGGTGCGTACTGGTTATGTGAAGATAATATCAGTGGAATTAAGAAATTTATTGTCAAGGTAGGAACAGAAAATTCTGCTAAAGGCAACAAAGAAGACGAAAACATGATTCCACAAAAACCTATTGGAACGGTTTCTAAAATACGATTAGATCTGGATGATGACGTCTTTTTTGAGAACAAAAAGACTTATTATGTAAATTTAATAGTCATTAATGGTGCCAATCTCTCAACTGTGTATAGTTGCAGTGTATCAACAATGCTAACTCCGCCTGACGTTTCGGATGTAGATTCAAAAATGATGAATTCAGCTATGATAGATGAAGAAACGGGTACAGTTTTTATGGACTCTTTAGACAGATTTGGGGTGAAATGGAATAACAGGAAAAATGACACTAAGTACTACAGTAAGTTATATTTTAGACAAAAACTTGAATTTAATACTTAATAATTGATGAAAAACTGACGTATGATATTTCTTCCGTAGAATGGAAAATGGGGACATATGAAGGAGGAACAGATATAATTCCCTTATCTATAATAGGCGTCACTAACGAGGGAATAGCAGAAATAATCGGTGGTGAGCTTTGGTTAAACGGCAATAAAACCGGAAAATCTCTAGCCGCTTTCGCCCCGGAAACCTGGGGAAATTTAACCGGATCAGAAGTTGACAATGAGGAGAACAACTTCCGTTTTCAGATGGAGCCTGGACGATGCGTATTTCTTTCCCTGGTTGCTTTTGGATATTCTAACTTAGAAACCACCATTTCATCTCAGAAACTTTGCTTTGAACGTAAGTAGTTTGCAAACACATATGAATCGAATTATTTATTTAAAACTTTTTTTTTACATTGATATATCATTATGGTGACAATTTTTTTAATCCAAGTTTTGAAGTAAGAATAGATTAATCCCTTCAGAGATGTTACATGCACCTTTGACTTACGTGCATTATTCCTGTTGACTCCATGAGCATATAGCTTATTAATATTTTTGCAGGAAAAGACAGAGATTTGGTTTTGAATGGAGAGCATGAGAACCTAACAACAATTGCATTGCTTTCCGATTCTAAATTTAAGGAAGTGTCAGACTTGGATAGAAGTGAGAACATTGTTATTAATATTAAAGGTATGTTTTCCTAAGGAATTGCATTTTAACTGTAGAATTAGGTATATACCAATAAATAGAGTATTGATTTATTTTACTTTGCGTTTGTGGTTACCAGTAGGAAAAGGCTATATTTAGATGTTCAAAAACAGATGGAAGCTAAATAGAAAAGGTTTTTATTGTTCTGAAAAAGATAACTTCATGTCAATATTTGGGGGTTAGTTACGGAAACCTACTGGTTGGACACTCGCTTCATGATCAGCATTTTTTTGAGGGGGGGGGGGGGGCACTTCTTGTTCTCGGCACTGGTTCGAATTCAATGCTAACATGTTTAACATAGTCAGTGTTGTGCCTTCACCGTGTGCCCGATATTAGAAGTAAAATTCGAATGAAACCTTTGCTACTGAGGTCTTGTATTACACTAGGGGTTCAAATACGCTAAATAACAAACGATCAATCAGTCAACATTTTTGCCTTCAAATTCTCTCTTTGGTTAAACATCCGACTATGAAACAAACGTGCAAGAATCTGTGGAGTCTTCGATTTTGAGGTTATTGAGATAAACGGTTCAACGTATAAATGAAAATGAATATACCCTAACAAAAAATACTATAGTTAACTATAATGATAACTTTGACACTTTGAAAACTATAGTTAACTATAGTGATAACTTTGACACAACGACCAAAAGCTAATTTTGAACTTTTTTTGTTGAAAAAACCCCCCCCACCACTGTCGATATGAAATGATCAGGTTATCATTTTGACACCTTTCATCTGAGTAGTTTATTAATCCTTGTTAGGAATTTCAACTAGAATTTCAATATTACTTGTAAAAAGGCAAAATAATTTCATAAATGGACTGATGGCCAGTACACTTACATTAATCGAAGTAAAACAAACTTTCATTCATATTTTCATTTGCCAATACCAAAGAATGCGATAGTTAAACTTAAAATGATCTGATTTTCTCTCTAGGTATCAAGACATTTTAGCTCACCTGAGCAAAAGGCTCAGTGAGCTTTTCTGATCAAAATTTGTCCGTTGTCTGTCGTCATTGGCGTCGTCGTCGTTAACTTTTCACAATTTCATCTTTTTCTGCAGAACCACTGTGCCAATATTAACCAAACTTGCCACAAAGCATCCTTGGCTTAAGGGGATTCAAGTTTGTTCAAATGAAGGGACATATCCTCTGTCAAGGGGGGATACTTAAGAAATAGTGAAAATTTGGTGGGGTCTTGTAAAAGTCTTCTTTTCAAGAACCACTGGGCCAGTAAAGTTGAAACTTATATGGAAACATCTTCAGGTAGTGTAAATTCAAATTTCTTCAAATAATGACCCCTAGGGGTAGGGCAGGGTCACAATGGATGATCAAATTTTAACATAGGAATACATAAGAAAAATCTTTAAAAATCTTTTACTCCAGAGCCACTGGGCCAGAAAAGATGCAACTTATATGGAAACATCCTCAGGTACTGTAGATTCAAGTTTGTTCAAATCGTGACCCCCGTGGCTAGGGCGGGGCCAAAATGAATGATCAAAGTTTTACATGGAAATACATAGGAAATATCTTTTAAAATCTTCCTTTTCAGACTTAGTGGGCTGAGAAAGATACAACTTATGTAGAAACATCCTCAGGTAGTGTAGATTCAAGTTTGTTCAAACCATCGCTCCATTTGGGTGGGGCGGGGCCACAATGGACGATCAAAGTTTTTTATAGGATTACATAGGAAAAATCTTCTTGTCAAGAACAGCAAAGCCATGATTAGTCTTATCTATATGCAAGCATCCTCAGGTAGTGAAGATTCAAGTTTGTTCAATTCATGACCCCCTGGGGTAGGGTAGGGCCACAAGGGGCGATCAAAGTTTTACATACAGTAGGAATAGATAAAAATCTTTAAAAATCTTCTTCACAAGAACAGCAAGGCCATGGTTAGTCATATTTAAATAGAAACAGCCTCAGGTAGTGTAGATTCAAGTTTGTTCAATTCATGACACCTGGGGGTAGGGCGGGGCCACAATGGGTTATCAAAGTCTTACATAGGAATACATATGAAAAATCAGCAACAGTCATTTTGTGTCTTATTAATTCAAAAGCATCCTTAGGAAGTGTAGATTCAAGTAAGTTCAAATCATAATCACCCCCTCCTCCCCCCCCCCCTCGAACCACTTTTATATTTAAACTTTTTAAAACTGAACTGATTTCTTAGCCAAAGTGCTCAGGTGAGCAATGTGGCCACTGGGCATCTTGTTATGTAATTGAAATATTTCTTCACATTTCATTATTTCTTGCTGCGAGCATCAATGAGGTTTTCTGTCCAAAGTTTTTATTGATACCGCCATAAAAAAAAAATGTTTATTTTTTAGGCCCAAAATAAGAAAAATAGTATGCACGATACTTACATAGACACACTGCTTTATTTAACAATAAACATTTTTAAAAATAACTCTCACGAAGAATTATAAAGCACGATATACTGTAAATTACAAATAATAAAGATGGAATGCAACGCAGTGCATGAAACAGAAATACACTCAACACATTTTTGTCTATTGTCCTATTTTCACACATGTGCATCCCACTTTCTTTTAAAGGCTGATACAAGGATTTTAAAATTCAGAAAGTTACCTTTAATATAAAAGAGTATTTAAATGTTTTAGATATGTATTAATAGCTTCGACTGCTTTCATGTACTCTGCTTAATAAATTAATTATGTTTTAGGTAAAATCAGTGGTGTTTCAATCGGTTCTTTAACTGAATCTGATCTAACGGCAGACTATGGATCGGCTTCAGCCTCTGATTTCAATAGTTACTTGACAAATCCGAGTACCACGGATTGGGCATCAACACGTGATATTCGTAATAGGTAAACCATCTCGACATAAAATGAAAAAGGACTGTGTTTGAGATAAAGATGATATGAATAAGAATTTAACATCTTTGGTTACTTTTCTTTTTAGAATTGTGAAACCTCTCGGGGTCAATTTTTTCATAGCACCAACACGGACAATGGAGGTGGAGTTTATTGATGTTGACTTCAAATTAAACCTCGATGATTTCGATAATTCTACAGTACCGGCACTTCTTCTCTGGGATAGCTACACATTTAACCCTGATTCGGAAAGTTAGAAAATTTCATCTTATATGTAACTAAATGAAACATCTTGTTTAGAGTCTCGCTGTGTTACCATTTGTCTAAGTCATGATTTTTGGCGTGCTTTTGCATTCAATGATATGTAGAAAAGAAAAACAAGGTTTATTTTTGAGGAATTGGAAATCGAAATTTAGTTATTTCATATATAAACACAGAAAAATATTCATCTTACATGCAACTAAATGAAACATTTTTTTTAGATTCTCGCAATGTTACCATTTATCTAAGTCATTTTTAGAGCGTGCTTTTGCAGTCAAAGATATGTAAGAATGAAAAGCAAGGTTTATTTTTGAGGAACTGGAAATCGAAATTCTGTTATTTTATATACATTCACAGGAAACATTGTATTTCTGCGATTGAATTAACTCCTGTTCCTGATTTCATATCCTTTTATTAATTCTAATTTCATATACTGATAATAGTATTATGATTTCATAATTGACACCATACATTTATATATCTCCAGCGTATGGTATATGGCGACATGTGGAGGGAAACTGTGGAGAAGATATTAAATCGCCTATCATTGAGGGAAATATTTTTAAAACAAAGGTATAGTTTGATTCAATTCAATGCAACTATTATACATCTTTCGAAAGCGGTTTCTACAAAATTATAATGACCATCAAAACCCCACTGTTATTTATTACAGATATGCCATAAAACCTTCCAAACTTCGTCAAGAAAACGAAGATCTACTACATCTCTTATGTCGAATCCGTATCAGTACACATTAACGGTCATGAACTTATCTTTCTATAACTCACCACCAGAGGTCGAAATAGATACTATCAAAATTTTGGAAGACAGGCCAATCATCGATTTCCAAATACCTTACCACGATAACGAAATGGATTCCGTACAATTTTATCTTCTCGAAATGTCAGATATTGGTTTCGTTAATCTAACCACTGATGGTATATTGAGTTATTATCCGAAAGAAGACTTTTTTGGAAAAGACAGCATTCAAATAGCATTGAAAGACGATGCTGAAAATTCTACAATTGTGAATAAAACTATTTGGATAGAAGTAGATGAGGTAAACGACATGCCGATGTTTGGATATCTGTATAATGATTCCTCATACAATGTTATGAAGAATAAAAGTTTGACCCTTATTCTGGAAGGGAACTCTACATTTCATCATCTGTTTAACTTTGGATTTGCAGATGTTGACAACAATGAAACTTTATCTTTCATATCTAGCTTGAGTAATACAGCAGACGTCCACATTACCACGACACGCATCGATACTGAATGGATTCTAAATGAAACTTTCGAATACAAAGATGTACGAACACATCTTGAATATTCAGCAGACATTGTTATCAATAAAACATTCCATGGTGACTTGTTTTATTATATTTTAGGTTTTGATAGCCACAACTTTTTCACCGAGCGATTGGAGACTCATATTTTCATTCTCTGGTCTCCTTGCGTCTATGGCTTTTGTTCCCCAAAGTCTACGTCTTCTCCATCTTGCCAGGATATTTCAAGAGCTGCGTCATTCGATTTGTATAAATGTACATGTTATCCAGGATACATGGGGATGTGGTGTGAAAATGAGATCAACGAATGTTTGCAGCAACCTTGTGGCATACTCTTCAATTGTGAAGACAAAATCAACAGTTATAAGTGTATCATCAAGCAAGAGGGGATTGCTGGTCTGATAATTGTGGGACTAGTGGTGATTATATTACTATTCATTTTATATCGATTCTTCTGCTGCAACGCAAAGACATACAGGTAAAGATTGAATTTCGAAGTATGTATGTTTGAACATTTGATTTATATCTTATTCTTTTTTATTCATATTTTCTTTAAAACATTTTAGAGTTGCACACAATAGAGATGGAGCTGTTGACGAATCGTAAGTAATGTTTAGAGAGAAAGATATTAATTATTACATTATCAATTATTATATAATTATATAATAATTATATTAATTGCAAGATTCATTTTCCGTATTTTGTAAGCATTTTCAACGGAGTAGTTCATCGACCTTGACTTTATCTTTTCAGCAATGGCAATCTTCTGTGAGTATTTCCGATTTTCTTGAGGGTCGTTACTCATTGTGTACATTATTTTTGCAAGATATGATTATCAAGTTGAATGTTACCGTTTTTTCTCCTTAAAAACCGAATTATACGCGTAATTCTAAGTATCTCGTTTTTCTTGGTTGTAGAATTGGATTCAGAATCCTGCCTTCTATTGCCAAGGATTTTCAGCCTCATTATGAAAAAACAGAAATACCTCTGCACGATATGATTAAATCACCGCTGGATATGTCAACAACTTTAGAGGATGAGACAGCAGTCAAACATTTTGGTGATAGAGATAGCCAAGGTTACCATAAACACGTCGAAACTGGAATTTCTAGAAAGACCACAGACTTGGATTCATCAGTTAAGACACTTATACATTATGAAGACAAAGAGAAGCCATTATTTGCGAAGATAAGGCAAAAACTCGAAAAGAAACCAGATGGGGTTCCTTACGCAGACCCAATTGTTGTACTGAAAAATCCTTGTTACTCGCCCGAATTACGTAAAAGTAATTCCTTGGATGATAAGTCAGATGGATTCATTGAAGCATTAGATGATAAACTGCCAGAAGTAAAATCGCCTCAAAATTTCCTCTTAGAATCTAAACCATCGATTACGGATATTAAACAGCCAAATCTTATGTGACACTTGTGACTTTGCGAAAATACAACACTCGGATAAAAACGGAAAATAGAGAACTTTTTACGGTAACCATATTAGGAGAATTTAATTCTGCACAAAATATTTTTTAACCTGCCGAGAATGGACTGATCAACCTTCAAACGCATATTTAAGAGAAAGAAACTACGAGATCTGGTACCAAAGAACCTAGTTCATTTTTACGAAAACATTTGACACCATAGAAAGTAATTTTACAATGCAAGTTTTGGAGGAGCGGAAAACCCTCCCCACTATAACTTCGGAATCTCATTCTCCTATTAAGATGGTAGATTCGGACGAAGAGGCTGGTAAAAATACCACATCCACTAGAAAGAGATTGTCACTGGAAGATGGCATTTGGCAACTCTTACTGGCAAAAATGTACATGTACATTTATTTTAGTTGAAAAAAGAACCTGTAGGACAAAAATAAACTCTTTTCATTCCTGTTATCTAATCAGTGTAAAAACAATATATCTTCAAATTTATTAACACATTTAGTTTCATCGCAATGTTTATCTTTCTTATATTATAGTTGGATATTCTACACAATAAACTTTTCTTTGATCTAAGTATATATATATATATTTTTTATTTTCATGCATGCATGAAACTTGTATACAAAATAAATGTGATATTTGAAATCCCAATAATACGGTGTTTATATATATATATATATATATATATATATATATATATATATATATATATATATATATATATATATATATATATATATATAGTTCGTTTAAAGCGAAATTGACAGTCTTTTCTCCTTTAAATGTTTGAGAAATCCAGTTCCCAGTATCAGAAATATACGGACATCCTAAAGGAACGCAACAAGCAATTATAGATAAAAAATGTTTCATGAATATCTTCCAATTCTATCCAGATTCAATACACATCTTTAATTGTATGCGATAATTTGATTAAGAAGTTGAACATTAGTTTTAGAAAGAAGTAGGTAAACGTTCTTAATCCTCCACCCCCTCCAAATCAGTTTTGAGTATTTTTGCCATGTATATCAGCTTGGATCTTACAATGCATTTACTCAGTCTCTTGATCTGAGAAAAATATGATATTCCTTTCTTCATGAAGTACCAATACCTGCTTCTCTGATGCTGAAATCGAATTATTTGGCCTGGATCTAATTCAGAAACCCTTCGAATCCTATTATTTCTTTAAATTATGTGTAAGAGATAATATCTTCCTAAACCCCTAAAAAAGAAAAATAAATAAATGTTTTCAAGCGACTTTAAATAGACCTACTTCATAACATTTGTTTCGTACACCAATCAATAGACTAACCAATGAATACTTTGTCATACTTTCTTTATTTCCATTTGAACAGAAACGTGTAAAATTACACTGAAAATTCAATTTTTCAAGCTGTGTGACCACCAGCGCTTTCTTATTAAAACACATAAGATATGACTTAGGGTAAGCTCGTCTTAAAGTTAGGAGAAAGATAAGAGAGTCTTAAACTTGGATAGAATAGTGTTATTGGCCTCACTAAAAACTAAGAAATATCGTAAGTTCGGGCGCGTTCTAAGATGTATCTCGATCATAGGATGACTTCACCAGCATATCTACTGGTTAAAATTAAAGAAAGCGAATGTACGGATTTTTTTCAATCATGAGAGTATTTGTCTAATAATAATAGCCTTTATTAATCCTCTACCTTTTCATAGCAGAAAGTTTCAGGTCTTCTGGCCCAGTGGTTCTTAGAATTTCTTTTGAAGATGTCATTAAATTTTCACTAATTCTTTATCACTCCCCACCCCACCCCACCCCACCCCCCTTTGAAAGAGAGCGTGGCCCTTTGTTTGAACAATCTTAAGTCCCCTTTACTTAAAAATGTTTTGTGACATATTTGGTTGAAATTGGACAGTGGTTCTTAAGAAGTCAAAAATGTGAAAAGTTTACTGACAAACGGACAGGCAAATGGACAAAATTTATCAGAAAAACTGGATTGAACTTTCAGCTCAGGAGAGCTAAAAAGTGCAGTGTTTTGTTAATATCCCTTAAAGAAGTGTTGATAATTACAGTTGTCCTTATTGGTTTTGCTAGATAAAAAGACACGCAGCATCATTGCGCATTGATTAATTACAAAGACTCACATGTACTACTCATCAAACACATTATGATTTATCAATAAAATTTGCATAAAAGCTGGAGAGAGATAATGTATCTACAGCAAAAGATAAATATAACAGTAAAAGGTAAAGATACACACAGCGTAATACCGGAATTTCTAAATGGCTTTTCAAAACGTTACCTTAAATAGATTGAAAATGGTTGGGCAAAATAAAAAAAAACATCAACATTTTTTTTATTTTAAAAAAAAAAACCTCCCTGGTAAAAATTACATCGGCCTACAATATTTCTTTTTTCTTCAAAATTATGATTTAGTTAATAAACTGATCACCAAAGAGCACACTATAAAATATTAGTTCATTCTACTTGAAATCCACGCCAAGGATCACGTGTTTTGTCATAAAAATTTGGAATCATTTGTGACGAATCAATTAGTGATCGAAAACCGTCAAGCACACTATTCTTATTCATTTGAATTGGCATTTTGGATTCCTGCTTAGTAAGCATTTCTTTAAGCTCGGAGAACATTTCCTTTATTTCCTGATAAATTTGTTTTTCTTCTGGGTCATTCACAGGCCGCGTCTGTGATCTGGGTGTCGTTGACTTCTGATTTCCCTTACGGACAACATATGTATGAGATTTGCGTCTCTCTTGCTTTTTGGCACCAGTTGATCTTGCTTGGGGATTTGACATAAAATCCTGTATATAGCCTCTAAATTTTTCAAAAAAATCACCCCTTTGCAAAGTGTCTGACAGGAAATGCTGCACAAAGGATCCTAGAAATAAATGTTTTGTTTGTTTACTTTATCATAGTTATGCTACAAACAAATAGTTACAAAAAACAGACTTGATTATGTTGCATGACCACAAGGGATTTTAATCCGATAAAGTACTTATTATAAATAATTCACACCATTCTGAGAAATCAGATTAATACTTTAAGCATTTGCAATCCCACACATTTTTTATATCCTGATCTCTGACTATGTTTTTTGTTTGTTTGTCTGTTTATTGTTTAACGTCCCTCTCGAGAATTTTTCACTCATGTGGAGACGCCACCACTTTCCGGTGGAGGGCTGCAAATTTTGACCTATACTAGGCACTCAGGGCCATTGAGCAGTGGGGGATCTTTTTCGTACCAACACGGGACACGGGACCTCGGTTTATACGGTCTCATCTGAAGGACCGGTCTCCACGTCCCACAGTGGGATTCGAATCCGCGACGTAAGGATCAGCTCCTTACTCCGCTACTCTAGATCGAACGCTCTAACCTCTGTGCCACGCGGGCGACCTCTGACTATGTCTGAAATGAGCTCTAAAGAAAAGGGGTACGTGAAATCAGAGAGCAGGCACTATATTTAGACGGTAAATAAATTCAGGGACAAAGATAAAGTGCTACGACACATTTTGCAAACGCCTTTTGAGTACTTTAAGTTCAAGACAATCAGCCAAAACCTTTTTCAAATATCAATTTCTAAAAAAAAAAAATGAAAAACAACCAAAATACCAAACATTCTTCTTGTTGGGTTTTCGATTCAAAATTAGTATTCTAAAACTGTCTAAAAGTATAAGGTCAAGGGCAAACTTGTCACCCGAAATAAATTATCATGAAACGACAAATGCTGGTCGAATCAACATATACATGTATCAACCCTGAAAATTCCAAACAAATCGATTTTACGGTTTGTACCAAATCTGCAAAAATTATCTAAAGCAGAAAAAAAAAGAAAAAAATAATAATGATAAATAAATAAAAATAATAATAATAATAAAAAAAATAAATAATAATATAAAAATAAATAAATTTTAAAACCTGAAATTTTAAAGTTAAAGAAGTAAATAAATAAATTTAAAAAATAAAGATAAAAAAATAAACATTTGAATAATAAAATTGTGTTCTGCTGAAATAAGAAGATCTTAATAATATATACATATCAAAGACATACGCATTTCAACACCATTGCCATGTTTACGCTGAGCCTCATAAGCAGTTTTCAGGAACTGATAGCCAGATAGGGCAGCATATCGTCTTGGTTTTCCTTTTATATTGAATTTTTCCAAAAGGATGTTTAAATCCTCTTTCGATATGTCTTTGTCCAAACGTCTGAATGCGTAATCAACAGCTTCTACAAGTTAGATAACCTTCTTGAAAATGTATAAATGTAGGTGAAATATGATCAAAAGATTTAAATCTCGGTTAGATAAAAAAAAAATTAAATTAAATTTTACCTTCCAAAATCTCTACGTCTACTCTTTCCTCAATTTTTATAGGCAGGGGTATATTTTGCCGTAAAGCCCAAAATGCAAACTCGTCTCGTTTCGACAAAACCTTATCTTTAACTCCAATATCGTGATAATATGCAAGTTTATCTCTTTCGAAAGAGACGATGGCAAGTCTTCTCTGAAGATCTTGATTTTCATTCTCAACACCTGCGATACGAATTTCTAATTGTTCATGCCTTTGCCATCGGAATATCATTGCTTGAGCATCAAGCAAATCGCAGATGGTATTCTCATCATAGCCTAACTTTTTCACTTTTTCTAGGCGATATCGGAAGTTTCTAAAAACACATAATTTTTGTAAACTGTCAACAGGATCTAAGGCACTTTCTTCCATTAATTTTCTTGCTTTCATTATGTTTGTGTACACATCATCACATTGTTGAATCAAAACCGCCAAAAAATATATCATACTTTGAAGTCGGTCATTTTTCTTATCATCATCTTCAATTTTTGCGGTCAGAGTGGCTATTTTATCGTGTGCGTTTTCCAATTCTCTTCCCATCTGATTTTGTCTAAGCATCAGATTCCGTGTTTCTTCCTCCATGTTATCGTCAGTAATTGTGTGTGGTTGCACCTCTAAAATTTTTCCAAAAATCAGATAATTTTTTAGATAAATATACTAAGCTACCTATAATATATAAAATTTTATACTTTAGCAGTTGTCAATGATATACCTTGCACCCAAACCATATCCCCTCCTAGCCCAATGTGGCTAACAGACACCTCATTCAGCATGGATAACCTCTGTGGATCTGAGGATAGCATTGTACTTGCAAACTCTTCTGGTACCATTATTGTAATTACTAGGCTGTTTGAAGGTTCGATTCCTGATATAATGACAAATTCCTTAGGTACGAAAAGCAGATCTGATGCCATTGAACGAAGCCGTTCCAACTCTGATCTTCCATAGGTGTTAAGGTCCTTTCCTCGTATGTGAAATTTCAGATATCTGTAGCCGTTTTCTGTGTATATATTGAGGACTAACTTTAACATATTGGTATAAATTAAATAAAAAAGCAGTATATAAAAACACTTAATTTAATGATGAGAGAGAGAGAGAGAGAGAGTACCTGGTGTTTCTCTCGGAGCAACAAAATGAATGCTTGAATCAAGGGACTCTGCAAATTCTACATATTTCTTTTGAAGATCCCTCCTGGGTAATATCCAAAGCATGGCTTGAAGTGTTATGATATTGTTTTCATTCAGCAACTCTTTTTCTCGTAGGATTTCAAATAAATCCAATGCAGATTTTACCTTTTCAAGCCTTGCCTTTCCTATTCCATATTTTCCTGTGGGTATTTTTTTTTTCAATATTGATCTTTTTCTCCAAAAATTTTACAATTACAAAAATGTTTGCTGTTTTTTAAAGATATTTACATAACAAATATTACCTCTGCAAAGGAATTTCAGTTTTTCCAAATCACCATCAGTCAATTCATCACTTATTCCGATGAGAAATGAATTCAATGCATAATCAGCTGAAGGCTTCAGGTCAGCAAGGTCTGTTAGTTTTGAACCCATTGTAATCTCGTCCTTGCTTATTGACCTATTCTTTAATAAATATAATGTGAAAATGTCAGTTCTAAATTAGATATATTTTTAATCGCTATCTGTAATGGAAAGCAATCTGAATAAACTCCATTGACTCGATTACGTAATGTACCGGTATAAACTTGAGTACGTACGGTCCATGACAAAGTCATGATAATCAACAGGACAAGAAATTTTTCAAAATAAATAACTTTAGTATATAGTAATCAAGACTATATAAACCTGATCATCTAGCGAATAAATGAAGGCTAAAGAAACATCCTGAGATCCTGATTTACAGAAATATTTCCTTTTAATTGACGAAAAAAAAAATGGCGGACAAAGATGTCGAGCGACCTAACAATTGAAATATCAAGCAATACAATTATCCTTTGTGCTGACGATAAATATATGATACTAGTACTTGTCAAGAAAAGATTATTTATTAATTTTACTAATACTTCTGATGAAGTGATTATAAAGCACAGCAAATTAGATTAACAATCATGGATCAGACTTTAACAGGTCGCAACATTATCAAATTCTTACCTTTGGTGAGAACCATTTATAATTCCTGTAAAAATTGTCATTTGGAGGAAACTATGAAATTTAATGATAAATCTTTAAAAAAAAAGATTTAAGAGTTGAAATGAAAAATGGAAAATGGCTGCCATGATGACCTAGCGATGATCGAATGGGTGTAAATTTCACGTATGGGTTAGAGCTAAAATAATGTCCCTTGAAAGGAGTTCTTTGATATCATCAATTATGAAATAAATATCTCTAAATTTTGAGAAACAAACCTAAAGATCATAGTTTGTGATTATGAAACGTTAACACGACTGTTTTAATGTCAAATATTATATCTAGATATACATTTCTGAAAAAAAAATCGTCTGTTGACTTTCAGAAAGTACTGTACCTAGAGATACTTATTTCTTCGTAACGATAACGAAACTAACGCGTCAACCAATCATTTTAGATAAACTATTTTTAAATCATCAATGCAGTATATCCTAGTCCTATCCTGGGATACGTTTAGGGTCACTATTACATCGCTTTTTATGAGGAAATCATTTCAAATAATAATAATAGAAATTTAAACCGACCATAATTTGTTGCAAAGAATGGGATGTAACTCTTTAGCATGTCATAAATACCAATGCTACGATGGCCGACAGCGGCCGCCACTTTTGATTCTGAATATTGTCATTTTGTACAGCTTTTTTGTCAATTTTCGTTGACAAATTACAACTAAACTGGTAATGCTATATGTCCATATACAGTTTTACACTGACAATTTACACCAGCGAAAAACATTAAAATTCTTTCTTGTGATATGAAATGAAGATACATAAAACAGGGTACTTGAAGGTGATAAGCTTAAGGTTCTAGCAGAACAGCAAGGTCGGGGTGATTACAGATTAGTATTGTCTTCTAGATATGCTTTCTCGACAGATTGTAGTAATTAATTCATAAAATTCCATGTTGGTGTACCTGCTGGTCACATCATAAGTAACCAGGATGAAATTTTCCAGGTCTATCAGAAATTTGATTTTGTTCATAAGCGGACGTGTCTTTGATGTATGAATTTTGTTTTTTAAACAATGCGCACGAGGAAATGATCACATTAGTTACATGTACCTATATTTGCATTCCCGTGCCACATTGAAAAATAATTGGCCGACCAGGTGGAAGTCTTGAGAGATTGCGTTGGCCTTTAAAAGTGTTTCAAGCATTTAGTTATTAATTTTATGTATTTAGAGAGCAAATACAGACTCCCACATTTAAGGTTATCATTTTATTCTTGCTTAAAAACGGGTATATTTCCGTATCTGAAGTTTTGTTTTTGATACATTCCATGAACTTTTGATTGGATGCTCACATGTAGAGCTACTGAATCCTGTTTTTCTACCTCTACATAATAGGTAGAATCAAGTTGTCTCACACACTTGGAGGATCGACATATATCCATTATATTCATGTATATCCATTACAACAAACGTATTACTTTTATTCGCCTTTTTAATTACAATCCCAAGAATATCTTTTTAATGATACAACAAGGTGACAGAATGACGATTTACGTCTAATCTAGGATTAACTGGGTTACGATATCTCAGACTAATTGAGGGTGAAAATCATTAAAATGCTCCTTATCTCTTTCAAGCCGCCTGTTTTATGTATCTTAATTTCATATCACACGAAAGAATTTTTAATGTTTTTCGCTGGTGTAAATTGTCAGTGTAAAAAGTGTACATGTACATACAGCATTACCAGTTTAGTTGTAATATGTCAACGAAAATTGACAAAAACGCTGTACAAAATGACAATATTCTTAATCCGAAAGTGGCGGCCACTGTCGGCCATCGTACAATGCCCATGGATTGTTGTCTGCTTTATACAGTTTGAAACCATCTTATACCAATCACAACAAAAATCCAAAATTGAGTCAGACACTGTAGATACCATTTTGAAGACCAGGTTTTTCAAAAGTCTGTTGGAATTCTATGAATACTTATTGTGGCCCGTTATTGCAGACCTTGTTTTGTATTCTTATGAAGCAGAATTTATACAAAAACTTCCACATGAAAAGAAGAAATCTCTTTCTGTGATCCTCAGTTTAAATAAAAGACTCCACAGAGTCTGACACATCTGTTTTATATTTCGATGTTTTATTAGAGAAAGACGTTGATGGCAAATTAACAACTACAAATAATTAGTTCTCCCTCGAAAGAAGACATGCTTTCAACATTCACAATCACAAGAAAATGGTGATCGAGTCTCATGCCTTGTGATGAAATATTCTGTAGTCAGTTACTTAAAAATAGCACTTACCTGTAACAGTCCACTAAGTTAATGATTAAAATGAATGTAAGTTTCTTTTGATTGTAAGCAACCTTTACCTGACACAGTCCAATAAGTAGACAATGCTTACATGTAATTAATAAAATGGATGAGAAAAAGTTCTGAGAGAGAACATTATGAACACAATAGAGTAAATGTTTTAAGTAGGTTATAGGCCTTAAACTTATGTGGCGGCCGCCAGAAACTTATTTGGCGGCTGCCAGATAAAATATTTTGCTACCTGGCACTTATCGACTTCCGTAGTATACATAATGGCCTAACAATTAGTATGAAAAAGACTCTGTGGAATTTTTTAGTTCAAGCTCACTGGGATATATAGAGTCGAAATATGAATGGAAGTAACTATTGTTTATAGATAATACGTCGTCGATATATCGAAATGTCGAGTTAAAGGCAACAGCAAGCGTTTTCTTATTCTCATGTAGAAGTTTCTGAATAAATACTGCCTTATATGAATACAAAAATGGGTCTGCTATTAACGGGGCGGAATTGGTGCCATGGGAATTCCAACAGATTGTTGGAAGACCTGGTTTCCAAAAACTACATAGACATTGTCAGTTAGAAACTCAAGCATCTTTTAATAACAACTTCAGAGTACTTGTGTGTTCAATCAAAATACTTTTAACAAAATAATTTTGCAAATGACCAGTTACAAGGTAAGTATATTTACGAGTTCCATTTTTATTGAAAAAGGAACTGTTTATGATATCAAAAAGCCTGTACTTCAATTTATCGTGGGGAATGGTTGTATAAAGTGTTGAAAAGTCGTACGTTTTGATGTTTTTGATTTTAGTAAAATCTTGTGATTTTAAATTTTTAAAGATTCTTTGGAGTTTTTAAGTATCCACATCTGATTTACACCACTTCTCGAATATATTGTTGTGCAGTACTCCTGAAATATTATGAATTCTGTAAAAGATAATGATAGGCGATGTGCCAAACATGAAAAAGAAGACATGGCTTTCAAAAGACTGCCCCTTTTTAGTTCACCTGAGCTGAAAGCTCAAGTAAGCTTTTCTGATCAACTATTGTTCGCCTTCCGTCCATCTGTAAGTTGAAACTAGAGGGAATCAAAGTGTTATATTGAAATATCTAGGGAAAATGTTTAAAAAAAAAAAAAAAAAAAAAAAAAAAAGGCTAGAAATGCTGAACCTTATGTAAATGCTTCCCCAGGAGTTGTAATTCTAATTCTTCAGGTCATTGCCCCAGGGGAAGGGTGAGGCAACCATAGGGAACCAAGGTTTTAGATATTAAATTAATGATGTCAATTCACAAATGATTAAACCATTTGTTGTCAAATTAATAAACGTCCCAGACGATTCACAAATAAAGTGAAGCTTAGCATCATACTCTTTATCATTCCATTGGCCTTTTTTGTAACCTGGATGGTTCATCTGCCCGCAATGCTCATCAGAGCTGTCAGGATGACTTGGCATCCAGTTTATGTAGGAAACTAAATTTTCTGTTGAAAACAACCTCCATTTTCCTTCTATCGACAGGTCATTTAAATCCAACCACAACGGTTCTGCAGGATGAAAAGATGAATAATGTAGTTTATTGAATGTTATGGATGCAACTTGTAGGAAAAATACAAGTATGTCATCCTGTTGCTCTACAGCTTATATAAGAGATACATAAATGTTATTCATAAATAGTCCACGCTTATTATCTCTCTGGGCTGCTTTATAAGTATGCTAGTAAACGTTGTAAGGTACGTGTAAGTAAATGTTATTATTTCATTCAAAAATACACGAACCTTTGAATTTTCTATAAATTAAAGTTTTATATAACTGTACTTGACTGTTTTCATACGGAAAATATGTTGAAGAACCTTTTGAGAAAGTTTTTTTTTGCAGCCACTCATTTTCTTGTTTATTGTTTATTTCTGCTAGGTTAGCCTTTTGTAATCTGCAGAATATCTGTATGAAAAGTAATATCTATCTTACTTGAGCACCAAACCAGTCTTGTTTTTGAACAAACTCTCTGTAGCAGTGCTCTTTATATCGCTTCCATCCATTCTTACAAATTCCTGCAAAAAGTAATACGCATATGAAATCCTTCGTATTATCAAAATACAAATACAAAAGTATATAATAAAATAGACGTGGCAAAGAACATTTCTACAGAATTCCTTATGTTTCATTACATTCCAGCATTAAAAATTGAAGATAAATTCAATTGATTTATTATTGTGCATGTAAACTAGACGGTTTACCAGGTAGTTAATTTTATTCACCTTCGCACATGTACATATTTCAAAGCGTGAATTGAATGTTTTTTACCAATAGAACAAATCATGAAAAATAATTTGTAATCTTTGTTCCTATATTTTCCCGTGAGTTGTTTGATACTGGTTTCAATTCGACGCAATGTAAAAAGTATTTTTTCCATCACACGAACTACTTCAGCATCCGTTAAATGTACATCCGCGGCGACAACACTCAGTCTCAAACACAGCAGACTACAAATATATTTCATAACTTCGTACATCCATTTTTAAGGACAAATTTTTGTTGACGAAATCCAATCTTCCAAATTGTCCTATGAATGCCTACTTTGATTATCTGAAAAAAAAAAATTAGCAAATTTTTGGCTGACATATTTCCTACCAATTGTTAGGCTTTTGTTTTCATACTAAACTTGACTACAGAATGTTATTTTTCAATATTTTACATGCAGTAGAATCTCTGATCAAATAGGTACATTTATTTAATATGATATTAATAACTCTTTCTGCAAAATGTAAAATTTATTTAATTT